CATATCAATTGCATCCCTGTATGATTCTGTGTTCTGTCAGGTTTTTCTATGGACGGGTTATTCTGCTGTATACACCAGTCATGATCAGTTATTTCCATTAGTCCATATGTAGTTATACAGTAGAACAGTTCGCTTCACAAGAATCCAACTATAGACTGTTCAAGCAGAAGATATGTCAGATCCATTCAGAAAGCTGAAATGGTGAGCAGCTTTTGTTTTGTGCAAGGAGAAAAACAGTGTAGAAATGAATTCTAGAAATTCACAATCTCTGAGGATGCCTGCCATAGGTGCAGGCGAAACGTCAGGAGAAAATACTTCTAGAAAAGGGCCATACAGCCCGAAACACCTGAAACAACCCAGAAATTCTGTGTGTGGATTACTGTTTTACACATACATAGATGTTGTAAAACTGAGTCTTATAATAGGCTGCAAGACTTATAGATTGTTTTACTGGGTGTATCCCTTTAGATGGCATAGAGAAACATCTCCCATACTACATTTGGACTTAAACATTTTCCCCCCAGTTTTCTTCCCAGGCAGATTATAACATAGATTAAAACTAAAATATAACTAAAAAACTATGAATAAACAGTTTTAAAACTATTACACAAACAATCCTGTTAAAACACAGTGTATCTTTTACACTTGTATCTTGGATTTGCAGGTTTAACTTTCCTAGATTTAATTATTCACAAATTTGCAGTCAATAGTTAGACGGATTTCGTGGCATGTACAAAATTTGTCAGCTATTCTGAGGTGTCTGCTTCATAAGATCATATGCAATGTTGGGAATGTTTCATTTTTCTTACAACATCCAGTATTCTGAAGAAGTATAATCATTCAGGTAAATATGTTCTTAGGCATTTGACACATCTTTGTAATACACAAAACTGTTTTTAGTCTAGTTTCGCTGCTTAGGAACTCAGGTGATGTAAGACTATACATAGGAGGGTTTCTGTATTGACTGTGTGCTTGGTAACAGCCAGTGAATCTGTGTAACTCATTACTGCTTATAGTAGTCAAGAGCAATTCTCAAAGCCTTCTGCACACTCTTTTTCTAATCAGCTACTCAGCATTTTCAGGGAGAGATACAGACAAGATACATAATAAGATTATCCATTTATTTTGAAATACAATCTCAGATAAACCTTTGTGACTAACATTGTAGTAGTATTTAAAGAGATTGTAGTATTAGTCCATTTAACATGAAAAGACTTAAAGGAATCTAGTAATACGTTTGAGATTAACTGAAAAGAAGAAATTTCTAGCATAAGCTATCATGAACTCACTCTACTTGCTCCTGACACGACGACTCTACTTCATTAAATGCAAGGCACATCAATATACATGGTGATGTTTGTTTCATGTTGTGGGTATATTTTTTACCTGAAAGGCAATCCTGGAAATTGTTTGATTACGTGGACTGAATCCATAAAATTTTGTGCTACGAATTTCTTCTTCCTCATTTGTCTTAAGGATCTACTGGATTCTTTTTCATGTATTTGTGACTTGGGATCTCATCACATTGATTAGGTCCAGTGCCATGATTCACCAGCCTCTGATAAGGCTGTAGGAATATGTTTGTAAAGAAATACTAGTCAATTAAAATAGTTGGGGGAGGGGTGATGGTTCTTTATGTGATGATGTATCTGCTAGAATTGAAATTTGGTCAGACACTCAAGATATATTCTATTTTCAAGTATTTTTTTAAAGGTACCTCTAAAAGCTAGTTAGGTAAGGCACTGATACAAATTTCATTTCACATTTTAATTCTGAGTATTTCCATAGGGCTATTTCATGTTGTTCTGGGTGTATTTTCTTAAAGACTGGTTTGAAAGGCACAATCCAGGAAACGGTGGGCTGATGAGTTGTCAGTATTTTGATGAAGGCTCTCTAGCTTTAAAAAAATTCTTTCATGTTAATCCCATAATTACATTCTTCATATAGGGTGGGAAGGCAAGTTTTTGCACAGTAATGCTTTGATTGTTTATCTTCATATTGACCTAGACAACCCAAATGAAATAAACTAAACATTAGAATCAAGCAATTTTTCTGTTCCTTTTTAGATCTAAATAGAAACTGCCTTCAGGTTACTTTTAGAAGTCTTTCACTTTGTATTTAGTCTATTTCTACTTCAGGTGTTTGCATGTCTTCTTTAGAAGTTTGAAATTTGTCTCTCATCCTTGAAGTGGGCAGGTTGCGGTTTAGACTTTCAAACTGTGTGAAGATTAAAAGGATATCTGTGCAGCTTTTAATAACTGTGCAAATATATCTGCATCTTATGATTCAACTAGCATAAATCATCCAATGACAAAACATATTTTCTCATATTTCTTTCAAAATAGGTCCAATTTTTTCATCAGTTAATATTTCTAAATACAGTGGTGACCTGGTTATATATTGGTTATCTTTTTACAGAACTCTACTTTCCCAGCAGTCAAAGGAAGACACTATATCTCATGTTGAGCAGTCATTATAGCCAGTGAAAGCAATTATAATATTTTTTGTAAAATGAATCCATTGGACTAATGCATCCAAGGAGGAAAATGAGTACAAATTTGAGATTATAAAAGCCCACATAATAATCATTCTACCAGACAAATTGGTCAAATGACTTTCTAGAAAGGAAATTGTTCATATGCTTAAATTCTTTTCTTTCTTGAAATATACAGAATCTGCAAATCCTTACTGCTTCTTCATAATTTTATCTAATGGTAGATAATTTTATCTAATTAGCTGAATGTTTTTCAAGTCAAGACACGCAAGTTTCCATGATTTTACAAATCTATTCAAGCCCTCTTTGTCTCCTGAAACATTGTTTCTGAGGTTTGTGGAATCTTCCAGAACAGAATGCAAAGAGAACAGATGTGAATCTCAAATATTTGTAGTCCTAAAAGAATACTGATAGGAAAAATATATTGGTTGTTCATATATTACTTTCCTAAATTGTTGCTTAGCTATAGATGCTTCCTATACTGTAATTGGAGCCCCCATGACCTTGGAGGTGTCTATGGATAACGCCGGCTCTTCGGCTTAGACATGGAGATGAGCACCAACCCCCAGAGTTGAGCACGACTAGACTTAATGTCAGGGGGGAAACCTTTATCTTTTATACTGTAATTGTTTGCGTGAGGAAATTTGCTTCTTATTTTCATTTTGGGAAGGTCTACTCTATAGCTTGATGATTACATTGTCCATTAGTAATTTTAGGTTGTTCACTTATTGTGGAACTGTGGCAAATGTAGCATCATTAAATCACAATATTGAATAGTAAAATGTTTGTTATTTTGCTTGAAAATTACTATCATCCTACAGTAGAGTCTCGTTTATCCAGCATAAATGGGCCGGCAGAACTTTGGATAAGCAAAAATGTTGAATAATAAGGAAGGAATAAGGAAAGCCTATTAAAAGTCAAATTACATTGTGATTTTACAAATTAAGCACCAAAACATTGTGTTTTACAACAAATTGACAGAAAAAGCAGTTCAATACACGGTAACATGTAGTAATTACTGTGTTTACGAATTTAGCACCAAAACATTGCAAGGTATTGAAACAGCTGTGGAGCCGGGTGGGAGGCAGACTGCGTTGGATAATACAGAACGTTAGATGAGTGAAGGTTGGATAAGCGAGAGACTACTGTATTTGCAAGACCAGTGTTCCATTGTGTAGGGATGTCAATATGAGATTTCCATAAGAACACAGGTCACCAAATATATTTACATTTTACGGGATTTTGCTTGAAAATTACTTGAATATTTACGGGATTGTGGCGCAGCTGGCTGAGTGTCAGCTGCATTAAGATCACTCTGACCAAAAGGTCATGAGTTCGAAGCCAGCCCGGGCTGGAGTGGGTGTCCAGCCATTGTGTAGCCCGTTGTCGACCTTTGCAACCCGAAAGACAGTTGCATCTGTCAAGTAGGAAAATAAGGTACCACTTGTGTGGGAGGCTAAATTTAACTAATTTATGAGGCCATAAAGAAAGAAGACTCCGGGGAATGTGGAATGCGGAAGAACTTCATCGGTGTCGCTGATGGACGATGAAAAGCAGCAGCTCCCCTGGCGGCCAGAAAAAAGTTAAATAGCCTCGGTGTATTTGTGTGTTAAACGTTGTTTGTCAAACTGGCATTGAATGTTTGCCATATATGTGTTGACTGTAATCCGCCCTGAGTCCCCTGCGGGGTGAGAAGGGCGGAATATAAGAACTGTAAATAAATAAATAAATAAACCAACTGAGCAACTTCTAATGTAATCAAGCTGACCAAAGTACACTGGCAACACATCTTTAACAGATGCAGAGTCTTCCTAAGGGAGTAGAGAAATATACACACATTGTAGTAAATATACAGTGAGTCTAAGGGAATTCTGTGGAAATGGACTTTGGGACTGGGAAGAAGATTACTAATTAGCATGCTACATATCTACTCAGAGAAGTAGGTTAACCTTGGAATTTGCTGACAAAGAGCATTCTGATAATGGTTGTGTTCAGTACCAGTCTTCCAATCATGTGGCTTCTGTGAATGGAAAGTGGCCAAAGCACATAAGATAGCAGAGTGAAACCATATTCAGCAGTTGCTTATCTCTTGCCAGTTTCATGTTGCTCAGTGTGCACAAACAGGATAGTTGCAGTGAATAGCCAAAGCCAGTCTTTTTGCGATAGATAAGCACACTGAAGACATCCAACTGGACATAGTGGAACCGTTTTGTTTGGGTTTATTTTTTACTTGTCCTTTTAGCTAGAGAAGTAGTAGTACAGTACTGCAGACACTGAGTTTTGAAGATCCTCTGTACTGAAAGACCTCCATATTCAGACTCACCATATACAATAGTCAATAAAAATGCTGTACATGTATGGAACAAGACAGAAAGGTGGAACAAGTTCAGGACACTGAAGTGCCCTTAAAAGTAAATCTTGTCTTCGATCTTAAAATTTTATCAACAAATCTCCATTCCAGAATTGTTTTAAACTAAGAGTGTTGTTTATTTTCTTGTTCTGGCAGATTCCTATTCAGGCTCCTCCAATGAAAACGGTGGAAAATCAGATTCGGTGGCCAATTTGCAGCCTCATTCATCCCTCAATTCCATCCAGAGTTCTCCAGGTCCAAAGCGCTCAACCAACACACTGAAAAAGTGGCTAACAAGCCCAGTCCGCCGATTGAACAGTGGGAAGGCAGAGAGTAACATCAAAAAGCAGAAGAAAGTACGTGAAGGAAGGAAGAGCTTTGACCTGGGATCTCCCAAGCCGGGAGATGAAACTACACCTCAGGGAGACAGTGCAGATGAGGTACAGATACACGTTGACTTTAGAAGAATGCTAATTTTAACCTACTTCCATTTGTGGTGACCTTTTTATTGTATGTGATTGATTTGGGATAAGTTCTATGGCAGCACTGAAAACATACAGTCCTCCTCCAAAAGAGGGAATTGCCTGTATGCTCACTGGGCATAGAAAACCTGCATTCAGAAAAGTTATTAGCCTTGCATAGTGTTCATATTTGTATAGCTTATTGTTGATTCTTATTCCCAATTTTTGTTTCTTTGTCTTGGGTCTACCCCATTATATGAGTAGGCTATTACCAGCTTCTGAAAGCTCCCTTCTAAGAATCCTCTTCCAGTGTTTTTATCTTCTTCTATTTTGGTAGAGGTGAAGTCTTCTAGAGATAAAATGTAGATTCCCTCCCCTCCCCCTCCCCCCTTCTCCTTCAACTAGATCTAATTCGGATGCTTTTATGACTGTAGCTCATATTTTAAATGATTTTATTCCATTTTGTATTGTGTAATATACACAATTGTAGCTGTGCTTTGGTAAAAATAACAAAGCAATACTAAAACAAACATGGAACTTGATCAAGAGGCAGAACAATTTTACACCTAGGAGTTTTTAAAACTGCAGAAAATGAACTTGTTTATTCCTGAAGATCTGAACCAAATCAAAGACTGAATGGAAGTTGGATTTGTAAAACACTAGATGCAGCAGAGGCCATTTTTCATTAAAAGTTTAAGAGTATTGTGATTGATATATTGTATACTTATTACATAACCATCATGTAGCTTTTAAAAGGCTGTTGGTAAGGCTGCAAGTGGGTGGTATTTTTTTTAAAAAAAATTCTTACTAGACTTTTAATTGCACATAAGTACATGCATCCAGACTTGCTCTTTGTAACAAAAGGGCATCTTATACTCACAAATGAAGCTGAAATCTCAAAGAGAATTCCTGATAGTGGAAATGGATGGGAGAGCAAGTTTCTTATATTTCCACGACCAACATCACAGACCATTATTAGTAAGAGTAACTGCCTTTGGCAAGAAGAGAAGTCCGGCTCCAAAGGATAGAGACAGATAGGATTTTTGGACCTGTCTCTATCCCTTCTACCATTTGGAAACTACAAAAGAAAAATCAGAAAATAGCCACCACTTTAGTTTACCATTCTCAGATTCTACTTGATTCCCCCTATTTATTAATAGTTTAAAATTATGTACAAAAGCAATAGCTTGTAAGAGGGTTGAACGGGACTCAGTGAATGCCTTGGTAGATAATGCTGCTCTTGGTACTGCTGTCATTTAGCCACCACTACCGCCACCTCTTTTATCGTGGTTTCTTCCAGGTTTTAGGTCATGTGTAGAAGGGCCCTTAGTTGTCTAGGATGCCCCAGACATAATACCTTGCTCTGAGGGCCCTTCGGGGCAAGGCTTTTTGATTTGGTCGTTTCTACCAAGGAGCATGCTAGTTGTTTCTCTGCAACAGAATGGCTCTTTCAAGTCCGTTGGTGTCTGGCTCTGGATGTTAGTTGCAGCTGAGGTGTGAAGATGTTTGCAGTTGGCTCTCCTTAGTGTTGCTTGCTCTTCCAGCGTTATTTCCCATGCTATTTTTAGAAGAACCCTCAACTCTCTTGAATAGCATGGGAGTTGCCGTAGGGACAGAGGCAATGGTAAAATCACTATCATTCGGTGTCAGTAGAACTCTTCTGAATAAAACTCTTGATCTAACTCATTATACATTTTCCTTTCTAATTCCTCTTTGGAGAGATAAAAGTGGGTTATAAACAAATATAATAACAATAATTCCCAACATATCATTGAAGAAGCCAGAGTAGAAATTACATTACCTTATTTGTCATAGAACTGTTTAATTAAGTACTGTAAGGAATAATTAACACTTTGTCTTTTCTTCTTCCTTTCTGTCTGGACTGGATTTAATCATGGGATTCCAACAGTGTAAAGATACCTGAAGCAGTTAGTCACTGAACTTCTTTTTTCTAGCTTGTAATGATAATTATGTTGCTTTCAGAAGAGCAAGAGAGGTTGGGGCGAAGATGAACCAGATGAAGAATCTCATACACCACTCCCTCCACCAATGAAGATTTTTGATAATGACCCTACTCAAGATGAAATGGTAGGGGCTATAATATTTTTCTCCCTTTCTTGAAATAACTTTTTTAAAAAAACCCATATGCTGCTCGGATTAAAGAGCAGGGGATCATGATTAATAGGGTTCCTATGTACTGAAGTTTGCTATACACCTTTACTTTCTTTCCAGAAAGAATGGCACTGTGAAATTCTAACTTCAAAGTCTTTCTTGTAGTGCCTAAGGATGTTACTCTCCATGCCCCAAACCAGAATATTCATCACCTAGCCTGCTTATTTCTGTGGCTTTTCTTCATTCATTTTGCATTTTATACTTTTGCTGTAGGGCAGTAGCTTTCAAGTATATGAGTTGAGGGGGGAAATACAATGTCTTATGGCACCTTAGAGATTACAAGCCTTAATTGGTGCATGCTTTCATGGAATGCAGCCACAAAAGTCTTTGCTGTTTTTCCAGCACCTGACTAACATGGCTGTCCCCTTGAAAAGCAGTGTATCCTAATATGTCCCAGTGAGTATGCTTAGTTCACACTGGCCAGAGACTTTGCCTTCTTGCTACATGAAGGTAAAGACTTAAAACATACCAAAACTTGGTTCAAGAAGAAGATTACTATTGGTGGAGCAGAAAGAGGGGACAGGTCTACTATTAATGATGTACTTAGTTAGAAATCTTTGAAGAGCACCAAAAGCAATTTCTTGGTTCCTTGGGGAAACTGTTTGAAAATCACTGCTCTACAGCAATAGCATCAGTGTTTGCTGTTTTAACATAATATTGGTGTTAGATCCACCTTTAACATAAAGGTGGATCCAGCAGTCTAGTAATGTACTTCATTGTCCCTATCCTTTCCCCCCATTTCTAGTTGTCATAAGTATCCCCTACTAATATATACATTAAAATCTGTCAGTCTTGTGTCTCAGTTTTTCATTGGAATACTTGTTTTGTGCCATTTCTGTATCAAGTCATGAGATTTCTGGATTATTCCTTGGAAGAAATTTTAGACATATTTTGTGCTATTTTTCCACCAAAACGTAAATGGTTTGTTCACATTCTTTCATCAGATTTTTGAAATGTGTTTCTGAAGGCTATTGGAAATCTATCCATTTTAAGACATGTGCTTTTTTTTAATGTGTATTTGGTTTTGTGCACATTTTCCTCTTCAAAGAATATTGTAAAGCTAGCACAAGCAATATAAATTTTCTTCAGTTAACGGTCTTTGAGGAGTCTTGAAAACTGAAACATAGATATTTGCCTTTGACCTAACTTTCTTGCCGTGTTGAAGAAGCAAGCTGAGTTATCTTTATAACCCCATTTACCAGAAATATAGACCACACTAATCAGGATAATAATACATAAACACCCTAGGAGTTATAGCTCTGTCCAAATTTACTTTGCTGTAAGAGCAGATATAATGCAACCAGTAGAGCATATAAAGCACATATTTACCATTTGGTAACTTCATTTGTGCATTGCGCAACCATTGTAGTTTTACTATGACACAAGAACACAGTGAATATAGTGCAGTGTTGTGATTGCTCTTATAAGTTTTCCTTCTTTTTAAAATCCACCTAAAATATATAACATTCCTTTTCAGAAAGCATAATGTTGGGCTCTAAAAAGTATAGCAAGTGACAGTACTCAAAACTCTTAAAGGATTGAAGCCCCTTCTCTTGGACAATCATTTCAGGATTGAAGCTCAGAAAAAAATGGAACATGATTTTTTTTTTTACAGAATTAAACTTCCGATATATAAAGTGGAATAAGTAATTCCTCACTATTTGTTGTGCTGGTTAGAGATAATGAGTAGTGCAGTCCAATCACATCTGGAAGGGCACATGTCTTCTGTTCATAGGCTAAAGGAAGATTTCTCCTTCCATCAAAGCAACTATAGAAAACTCTAATTCGGATCAGTAGCATTGGGAGTGAGAAAGGCTTATCTGTCTCTCTGCATACTGTTTCCCAAACACAGTTGTTTGTGGGGGAAAATATAAACACCTATACTTTTTCTCCATGAGCAAAGAGCAATGGAAAGAGGTGACAAAATATTCCCATTGGGAAGTAGGCAGGTGCACTTTAACCATGCAGAAATATTTGGAACAAATTGCAACTTCCCCTAGTTGGGTGTCACCAAAAGTAAGCCAACTAAAACAGCAAAAAAACAAAAACAAACCCAAAACAAAACCTGGATATCACATAGCTTTTACTCTGGAACTGATGCTGTAACTTGCATATGTTGTAGAACATTTCAGACTGAATACTGGAGCTCTAAGTCTCTGATCTTGTAATTTTTTCTATTAAGTTCAGAAGAAAACTGCCTAGAGGCAAAGTTCTGAGTATCGGTGTAAATAGAAGACTGTAGGAAATGGTTGTAGTATCTTGTAAGAGAGTACAGCATAGTAAATTTGCATCAATGCAGAATCAATGCAGAATACTCTCTTTCCAAGGTGAAGATGAGTTTACTGTGCTAATTTCTGGAAAAATAGCCAACATTTTGAGGCTTTAAAAAGCTTTTTTATGGTGATGGTTAAGACTGGACTCTGGAGAATAATAATTTTGTATTCTTGCTGAAGTACATAACCTTTCCAGTTCCTTGAAATTACAGACTTCAATTTGAGTTGATGATTTTTTCCCTGAGAAATAAGTTATCAGAGGATATCAACAAAATTGTTAGCATAGGCATTCTTGGAGGTAAAGCAACTATAATAATAGATCACTCAGCAACAGGTCCTAACAAGCCTTCACCTGGCAGTGGCAGCTGACTCAAGGACAATAGTCTGCTTTATTGAGGTAGCTACCTGCCTAATCTTTACTGTCATTTCACTTATTAATTTCACTACATTTTATTTGGTTGGTAATAGTTCTTACTCTTCTCTTGTTGGAAGGACTACACTGCACCTGTGGAGGTAATTCAACTATATATATATAGATATATTAATCCTAGGATATTAGGTTTTTAAAATGAATCTGACATTTAGAATTCAGGTCACCAATATGCAACTATTTTATTCGGGTTCAAGTCTTTTTCCACATAGAAGAAACAGAAGTAGGAAACGATGGATTGTCAAATGTTCTGTTTATAGTAGTAGTTGAGGCTTCAAACAACCAAGATTCAACAAACCCATGGCTCCGTTACTATTAGCCAGAAATCTTTTGTTGGGACCCAATAGTCCAGCACAAGTCATCTTGAATGTGTCTACATCTTCATTAACATGGTACCTTAGGATTCTCTAGTGAGCAGACGTATTTTCATATATGCCTTTCAATCTTCTCCCAAGTACCTGAAGAAATAGGCCATACCTTTCCTCCCTGTCTTGTTCACACAGAAATGCACGTAGCTTGCATTGGTTTCTGGGGTGTGTAGATTTTATCTATTTACATTTTCATTTGACAGTGGGATTCTGAAGATGGTTGCAGCTGATACCTTGATCTGTCTTCCCCATTCATATTTTAATGATTGCTTTCAAGAGGAGAGGCATTCTAGAAACTCTCTCTAAAGAGTTTCTATTCTTTGGCAATGAGCTGGACATCTGGCAGAGTTTAGCAATGACACACAGATACATTTTTCACATATAGTTCAAGGCATGACAAAGCATTAATTTAATTAACACACATTTTATGTTCTTCAGATGAATAGTATGAGTATAGCAAGAAAAAAGAAAGAGGCCGGTGAGAATACTGTAGAATCCCAGAAAAATTATTCCAGCAGTAGAGCAATTATTTTTAAAATCTCAAAATATGCAAGAAAGAACCAAGCTACATGTCTAATTCTTTCTTAGGAAAACAAAGTCCCTGAATCAGTGCAGATATATATCCTAAAGATATTTTCTGCTGAGTGCTGCTATGTTTTGTATGTCAGAACCTTGCCTCTCAATTTTCCATGCTCCTGCTGTGTTTTTTCCTGCTTGTACCCTAATGTGTGACCTCAAACTGCTAAGTCCTATTGGCTTTCCCTAATACCTTCTCATTCCCGCTAACCTGCTGTTCCTTTGCAAAATGGTGTCTTGCAGTCCTCCTCTTTGCTAGCTTCTCGACAAAGCACCTCTGATGTCCCAACTGCTGCGGATCTTGTCAGTGCAATAGAAAAACTGGTCAAAAGCAAGCTGGTAAGTCTAGAGTCCTGGGTTCCTGTGAAGAAAAACACCCTGGCTGAGCAATACAATACAATCAGCACCTGGTCCTATTGCTGACTCTCCTTCCTTTCCTTCTCACTTTTCTACAGAGATGTTGAATATCTCTTAACAATCTCATGTTGGTTTTGTTTGTTTGGTTGACAGAATGTAGCTATGATTTCTAAAAAGGATTGGAAAAAACTCTGATTACATCTATAGACTACCGGGCAGATCTGTAAACCTTATGATTGCAGCCTATTACAATATTTTCTTTTCTTTGGAATATTGAGTGTCATATCAGTGCAAGATGACATAAGTTTCAGTCATGGCAATGTTGTACTGGTGTCAAACATATGTGATTCATTTATAATAGATTTTTCCCTTCTGGAATTAAGAATCATATTTGGAAAATTTAATCGAGGACTGTTTAGTATATTGTTCAAGAAGCCTTCTTTTCCCTATGAGCATAAGATACAGTAATGAAAGCAGCAACAATCGCAAATGATGGATAGAGGCTTCATTTTTATTCACAGTTGCAAGGAAACAAGCCTAGGTGAAGCAAGTAGGCCATTTCCAAGGAATGGAAGCCTGACCTGCTATAAATAACCTCTCCAAGGGCAAATGCACTTGCTGTGATAGCTCATTATTTTGGTCAAAGGACATTTAATCAACTACCAAACTCACACATTTTGTATTTTCTCTGTTTGTTTGCTTTGTTCTGTTAGAAATGTAATATAATTGACTGGCTGCCCAGACACGAGAAATAAATAAAAAAATAAATTTTGAACTAAAGTTGCCCTCTTATCTTCATCCAAAGAGGACATTTTTCAAATTATCTGCTCGTATTGGAAAGGTTGAACTGAAGCAGCAGTTCAGTCTTCTAAACCCACTCAAGACTCCTAGTGCCAATTCAATAAAACATGATTTTAGCAGACTGAAAACTTTTTTTTTACTTAACACACTCCACTCTTCTCTTGGCTTTGTGTACCTGACTTCGATGTTGACATCCTAATTTGTTAAACTTTAGCTTCCCATGACACCTGAACTGGGGAACTGTTTGAAGTGCTCGTTGCAAACAAGGATGTGATCCCTGAAATGGAATTCTTACCATATCATATAGTTGGGTGAATTGTGATTCAAACAGGTGTATCCTCCCTTCTTTCCTTTTTCTGGTACCGATGATAGTGCTTTATGTTGTGAAAGCATAACAATGATTCAGATGGGATACCAACAGTCTTTTGAGATGAAACAAATATTGTCTTGAAGAGTAAATATAATGTTTATGTTCTAATGTGTTACAGTTAATGGTAAAAAAATATGTAGAAAGTCACTTACTTTGACATTGACATGAAGTGAAACTCCAAGAAATTTTACCAAATGGGTTTGGGCCTCTTTCTCTTGGCATTATGTTGGGTATTTCTGGTCAGTATTCCACATCTGATGTTAAATTTCAATTTTTCATCCTTAAAAAAGAAACAACCTTTGGATTTGTTTCTTTGCAAAAGTGGTCCTTCTGGACCAGTGTGGCATAGCTGGCAGTAGTGTGAGTGGCATCTCATCAGCAGGAGTAAAACAGTTATGGCAGTAAGTGGGGAGGAATGGCATATAAAGTTGTCTTTATCAAGAGAGAAAACTGTCCTTTCAGCTCTGGAGCAGCTCAGAAGCTGCCAGGGACGGTTTTTCTGATAATGGACAGCTTTCTCTTCGATCTCTCCACTGCCTGGTGTTTCTGCACACAGTTTCAGAAAACCTCCTACTGGGGTAATGGAGCATTATACTGGTGCAAGTCACCAAGAAAGATTCTACCCACAGTTAGCTTGCATGTGTCTATGAAACACACAACTGGAGGTGTGCATTAACAATCAGGTACCATTTTGTGTTGAATAATCCAGAGCAATGATGCATCCTTGCTTATTTGGACTAAAAGTACTGCCAAGTAGACCTGTAGATCAGATGCAGAAACAGACATAGAAATGGCTTAAAGTGTTATTGTATGCAGTATAGTACACTCAGACTTTAGTGAAATTCACTTCCAGTTAATGTAAGGGATTGATATGAATCCTGAATTTAACCTTAGTTTATGAGGGTTTCCGAATATTTTAAGGAAGCACAATGGTGATTGTATGGAGTAGTAACAGTTATATTCCGCTGCCTACAGTCAGTTAATATTGGGGTGGGGGAATAGTAGGTGGTTGTGGGATATACTTAGACAGGAATTGATTTTTTTCTTCCTCAGTAGTGATTACAAAGTTAAAATACCTGAAAATCAAGATCACTATATTGCTTAATATTTTCGTAATTAATTCAGCATCTTGTTTTTTTGTTTTTGTTATTCGGAAGACTTTAGAAGGAGGCTCCTACCGAGGAACCTTGAAAGACACCACTGGATGCTTGAATGAAAATGTGACACCTTCAACTCCTCCTTCAAGAAACCTTGAAGAGGAACAAAAAGCCAAAGCTATGAGAGGCAGGATGTAAGTTAATTGGTTTGTACTGCGAATAGGAAATGAAAAATTATACCTGGAAAGTTAAAAAATGCTGTTATATATACAGTTGAGACTAGTGGGTCGTAGTTCTTTTTGGGTGTTTTCTCAGGGTCATAAGAGGGAAGGGAAGGAATGTAGGCACACCTTTAAGACTATCTGGTTTTATATATGTGATGAAAAATGGAAGAAGACAAGTGCTACGTTGGTTTTGAGTCATTGTTTACCATGTTACTATCCCTTTTTCTCTTGTATTCCACGTCTGTAGGATGATAGGATAACTTTAGCCTATTCAGATCTCTTTCTGATGGGCAAGTAACATGGTACGGTGGGTTACTATGAGTATTCCGGCTGTATAGTCATGTTCCAGAAGCATTCTCTCCTGATGTTTCATCCACATCATCAGAAGAGAATGCTTCTGGAACATGGCCATACAGCCCAGAAAACTCACAGCAGCACAGTGATTCCAGCTATGAAAGCCTTCAACAACACATTAACATGATACAGCTCCTTGCTGTATTATAACTGCCCATTTTAATCAATCAAAATTGTCCTGATATCACCCTGGTTTCAGTATAGATTTGTTCAGCAACTAGATAAAAGATCACCTATGTATTGTTTCTAAATAAGTTTTGAGGTCCAGAAGGGAGTGCAATGGCAATAAAGAATATTCTAGCGGAAAGAAAGAGCTCCTAGATATCTGTGCCTTGCTGCTACAACTTACATCTCTTTGGACTTCCAGGTTTGTTCTAAATGAACTAGTGCAGACAGAGAAAGATTACGTCAAAGACTTAGGAATTGTGGTGGAGGTGAGTTAAAACAAATTAGACTGGATATATTTTAACTGTGGCTTTTCAAATTGAATAGCTCTTCAGTAACACTGTGATCTTTGCTCTTTGGGGATTGAAAAATTGATAACTTCATCTGCCCTTTGAGGCACAAGAAATATATTCAAAAGCCTAAAACTCTATGACCCCAGTTTTAACTTGCTACGTATATGTGTGTAAATGAGTCTTTTAAGTTGTAAATGGAATGTGAACTTTGTTTTTTTTTTAAATTCACAGCATCCAGTATGCTCAGAATTTTTAAGTCCCTGTTACTGCAGCCTTAAAAATCAATTAATTAATATCATCTCTGATTTTCTGCTTAAAGGGATTTATGAAAAGAATAGAAGAAAAAGGTGTTCCTGATGACATGAAAGGAAAAGACAAGATTGTATTTGGAAACATTCACCAGATATATGACTGGCACAAAGAGTAAGTCTAGAGTCCATTTTAAATTACTACTGCTAAAATTCACAAGATTTACTAAGGTACCGTATATACTCAAGTATAAGCCGACTCAAAGAGCCAAGGCACCTAATTTTACCACACTGGGAAAACGTATTGACTCCAGTATACCGCTTTGAGTCCCCCCAGGGGTGAGAAAGGTGGTATATAAATACTGTAAATAAATAAAATAAATATAAGCCGAGGGTGGGAAATGCAGCAGCTACTGGTAAATTACAAAATAAAAATAGATACCAATAAAATTACATTAACTAAAGCATCAGTAGGTTGAATGTTTTTGAATATTAACAGAAAACTGTCATTTAAGATAAGACTGTCCAACCATTATTCTAACCTTCTTCAGTGTAAATGTGATTACATATCCTGCCAATAAAAAAGGGAGTAAAATAATAAATGTAATAAAAATAGTAATAATGTAAATGTAATAATAACAATAATAAATAGAGTAAAATAATAAGTGTAATAATAATAAATGGAGTAAAATAATAACTGTAATAATAATAGAGCAAAATAATAATAATAATAATAATAATAATAATAATTAATAATAGCTACCTTACTTGGATCTGTGCACATTGTTTGAAGATACATCACGCAGTCCTAAACGCTTATGAAGTGTTCGACCTGTGATACGAAATCGAGCATATATATCTCGCTTGCTGTGTCATACTGTGTTTTTGTGTCAGTAAAATAATAATAAATAAAGATAATAAATGTAATGAATATAATCATAATTAAAGAGTAAAATGATAAATAATTTTGACTCGAGTATAAGCTGAGGGGGACTTTTTCAGTGTGAAAAAAGGATTGAAAAACTCATACTTGAGTATATACAGTATATTTATTTGACTTGAACCACTTCTCTTTCCCTTATTTCCCATTCATTCAAAGTAGTGCAATTTAACAAGTGGCCATAAAAGTGTAGTTTCATTTGCCACAATAGATAATTATGAACATCTGTTAGAATTCAAGTTACGTCTCTTACAAGTATCAAGGCAATGCCTCAGGTATATTCTGAAATGGACCACTCTGAAATTAGTTATATCCAACAGTTTGGTATTCACAGATTTGTCTTTACATGTGGATCTTAATTTGCCTCAGAGCTCACAGTGGATCCTTTATATTGAAAGTGATTGAGCACTGAGTTTCAAACTTCCTATCTTCAGAAAACATCTACCATATTGCTTCTATCAGCTATAGAATAGTTATGATTCAATAGAAAATTCAGGGGCAATCCTACATCTGTCTGTTATTTTTTCATTATAGTTTTTTTCTTGCTGAACTGGAAAAGTGCCTTCAGGAACATGATCGTTTAGCACAGCTCTTCATCAAACACGTGAGTCCCATTTCATGAAAAAAGCTCTTAAATCTATCCTTGTTGTGATGTCCTTATGATATTCTCATGAAAAGGGTACAAAATAAGGACTCAAATGATAGATCACAGTGTCCTGATTTTCCTCGAGCCACAACACCATGTGCATGTGTAGGTGTAGAGTATGTGTATTTTTGGGTGGTTATTTAAAAGAAAATAAAGGTAAGTTTACCTGAATATAACCCTGCCCCTTGGTGGTGCAGCAGTTTAAACCCCTGAGCTGCTGAACTTGTTGACTGAAAGGTTTTTGGGAGCGGGGTGAGCTCTCGCACCTAGGCCCACCTTCTGCCAACCTAGCAGTTCAAAAACATGCAAGTGTGAGTAGATAAATAGGAACTGCTTCTGTGGGAAGGCAACGGCACTCCATGCAGTCATGCTGGCCACATTACCTTGGAGGTGTCTACAGACAACACAGGCTCTTTGGCTTAGAAATGGAGATGAGCACCACCCCCCAGAGTCAGACATGACTAGGCTTAATGTCAAGGGAAAATTTTACCTATTGTATGTTTTACCTGGCCCTTTCTAGTGACATGACTTGAAAGATATATCCCTCTTCCAAAGTGCACAATGTAGTTTCTTACTTTCTATCCTTTGCATTTAGTTTGCATTTCTTTGAGGAAAGCATTATGATGAAATAAATGTAAACCTCAATGGGTTGAAAGCTATACGACAGCTTCCAATAATTTTCACTCAGTGGTAAAGTTCTTTTTTAAAATACGTGTCATTGCAAAACCATGTACAGGTAGTTTTGTTTAAAATTAAAAGTAATTGCGAGATGGGCCTGAATCCAGATTTACATCCCACATCACTCATGTACTTGCTGGCTAGCTTTAGGCAAGTCATTAAGGAATTAACAGTAATTTAGGGACCTGTAAGACTGGAGGCTGTAAATTAGCTCATTGGAAGCTGAAGACCTGGAGTTAGAGGAATTTTATGAACCTGCCAGGGATATCTGTATGTAGCTGATGGATCTGATCAAACGCTTATCTCGTTCATCATTGTATTCATACATTGGCAATGCTGATGCCTGTAGGAAAGACATGAGGGCAGGTAGCTTCTGCCTACTTATGTTCCTTAGCAACTAATCTTCAGAGGCATACGGTCGGTCTCTGATGGTGGTGGTAATATATAATAATGCTAATGCCAGCTGCTAACGTTACCATCCTTGAAAATATTTTCTCAGGCTTATATTTGTGGGCTTTACTATCTCCTGCTTTCTTTTTTCCATAAAAAAGATAGTACTGATAGAGGGCCAGAGTGGTGTAGTGGTTTCAAAATTGGACTCTGCAAACCAGGGATTAAATTCCCTCTTGACTATAGAAGCACATTGGGTGACATTGGACAAGGCACACTCCCAGCTTCAAAGGGAGGCAGAAGCAAAACCCTATGATAGATTCATTCTAGCACTACCATAAATCAGAAGTTACTGAATTTCTGACAACAAAATCATGGGGTTGGTGGCTATCTCCCAGTCTTCTGATAACAGTAGACAAGGTGGAATGGAATTGAGGAAAGTGCATGCTCTCTCTCCAAGCACCTTCTGCTGATGAGAACAGCTACATTTGCTTTTTACTGCTCTTCATTCAGTACTAAAAGTTGTTGTTGGCTTTAATCTGTAACAGCTGTGTAAATTTTGCTTTCACAGGAGAGGCGATTACACATGTATGTGGTGTACTGTCAAAACAAACCAAAATCTGAATATATCGTAGCAGAATGTGGAGTGTATTTTGAGGTAAGATTTGGCCTTCTTCACAGGATGCTTCATTCATGCTGCAGAATGGCTGTTCTCCTCCCATATTTATACATGTGTTTTGCTATAACCGTGCTAGCCAAGATCTCCTTTCTTGGATTGTTGGCTTTACCCTTCTTTCCTCCCTATTTCTGCATGCATAGCATCATATTTAGCAATCTCTTCCTGCTGCTCTGCCCCACCTGACTCCCTGTTAATTTGTGACTAATAGGTCTCTGTACCTTTATTTTCTTATTTTGTGACATCCATTCTTCTAATAGCTGTCTTACCGGATCTGTAAAGTGTATACATGCAAATATGAGGGATTAAAAAAACCTTTATGCCTGCCACTTGTGGCCATGCTTAGTCTTTGAAAGAAAGACAGGATATACATATATTTTTCTTATTATAGCCTTGATAATGCCTTTTTTTCATTTCATAGGAGATACAGCAAGAAATAAACCAGCGGCTAACTCTTAGTGACTTCTTAATAAAACCCATTCAAAGAATAACCAAGTACCAGCTGCTACTCAAGGTAAAATATAGTACTCTTAATATATGCTCTAGCAGAAACATGGCCTAGGTTTGTACATTTGGGGTTTCTTTGGGTTTTTTGTACTGCATCAAACCCTTTGATTCTGCCTTATATGGTGCTTCCCTTGAATATAAGGACTAGTTTGGAAGCTGCAGTGTGCAAAATGCTCCAGTAGTAGTAACTGACGGGAATCACATAATAAAAATGTCACATCAGGTTATAGCAGTCATTCCCAAACTTTGTTTCTCCTGGTGTTTGGGACTTCAACTCTCAGAAGCCCCAACCAGGTTGGCCAACAATCAGGAATTCTGGGATCTGAAGTCCAAAAACCCTGCAGGACCAAAACCTGAGAACCACTTGTTTAGAGGCAAGTTTGCTTCTGGGTTGAATTTAAGTGTCTGGTTATGACATTCAAGGCCCCAAATGGCTTGGAACTTGGATATTTGATGGTCTCCCTTTGTGTATCTTACCCTTATGATTAGGTGGAATGGCCCTCCTCTGTCTCTAACCTGTGTGAGCATTTTGAAAGATGGTTCCCCAATTGTGATATGCCCTTCCCTTAGAGACCAATTGGGTGGTGTGGGCTTCATTTGGTCCCCAAGTTAAAATATGCCTTCTTATTAAACCTTTGGGGCCTGATTGTTTTTTCTCCAAGTACGACCATAAATTGGTTCGAACATAATATGTTTAAATCTCTTCATTTGTATTTTAATATTATATTGCTTTGAACTGTTGAAATGTTGCAAGTCATTTGAAGACATCTGCCCTTGCGCTTTGTTACTCTGCTGCCTAGTACACATGCTCAGAGTGGAACACGTCTCATCATGCTAAAACAGTGGATGTGGCTCTTAATGAGACATGCTGCATTATCACAGGATGTCTATGCCCTGCACCACTGGATAAATTATACTATTTAGCCAGTATTGCACCACCTGACATCTGCCAATAATGAAAGGACCAAGGCAGTGACATCTCCAGCCCATCCCCGGTTCAAATATCAGCCAGCATGCCGATGCCTTAAATCAAGAAATAGTTTTCTAAGATCTACAGAGATACTCTCAGGAACTCAGTAAGCAAGAGTTCAAAAGTGGCAGGCTAAAACTTTGAACCTCAACCTATGGCTGATAAAGGATGAGAGACTTCCCCCTGGGCACACAGAAGACTGGGCGACTTGGAAGGCATTAAACAGGCTCTGGCACCACGAGATGCAGAGCCAACCTTAAAAAAAATGGGGCCACAAAATGGAGTGTTGAGAAGAGCAAACTACAGACCACTTACTATAATGCAGCCTGAGCCCTACCACATGCACAGCGGAGGACCTTCTTATAGCAACTTTGTGTTCTTTAAATACAGTATAACTGTACCCTTGGTTTGCTTCTGATAGGATAAATAAATAAATAACTGTTGAAATTGACTTATTCTCATGCTACCCTGAAATCTTGTGAGAAATAGTGAGAGATCGTTATTTTAATAAAACCAAAAAAATGATGTGCCAGAACATAAACCCAACTCTTTGATTCAGTTTAAATTTTCATTTCAGTTGTTAACTCTAATAAGGGGTTGGTTCAGTATTTCAACCTTAAAGGGTTTGAAGGGACCACAAAGGCTGTCTTTCCCAATGACACCAGTGGAGAGGTCCACAGCATAGACTCAAAGACTGACCGCTAATGGCTAGAAGCAGATACTACATACAAATGTAAGTGACATACTTTTTAGTCATGTTTCTGAGAATGTTTTCCTTTCCTGTAGGACTTTCTGAAATACAGTGAAAAGGCTGGATTGGAGTGTTCAGAAATAGAGGTATGTTTTATCCATTGTTTTTTCTGTTTTAGTTTTAAACTGTGATTACAGATTACTCCATAATGATTTTAGTTCTGTTATGAACCACCTCCTTTTTTCCTGTCTCTGATAGAAAGCTGTTGACTTGATGTGCCTTGTTCCTAAACGCTGCAATGACATGATGAACCTGGGCCGTCTTCAGGGCTTTGAGGTAAATACTCATGCTAGCTTATTTGTTTATTTGTTTATTTATTTATTATTATTATTATTATTATTATCATTAATAATAATAATAATAATAATAATAATAATAATAATAGCACTTTATTTATATTACGCCCTTCTCACCCCGAAGGGGACTCAGGGTGGATCACAAGTACACATACACGGCAAACATTCAATGCCATTTGTATAGACAGTACACAGACAGAACAGAAGGAGGTGTTGTGTCGATGCCATGGACGGTTGGGCTTGAGTCCACAGGGGGTGCTGTTGCTCCATCCTCTATGACGAAGAGCCGTCGGGACTTCCTTATTCCAGCATTTTTAGATCTTTTTCTTTATGGCATTGTAAAACACTTCCCCAGCTTTAGCAGTATCTAATTTTGCTAATTACAGCTAAAGCTGTTTTCGAATTGCTTAGGTAAACAGTGAGCAGGTCTGACGGTCAGCCGCCCACGCCGACCTGGTGTTCGAACTTGCAACCTTTCAGTTGATAGATCTTATAGTTGCTGATGATTTACCAGCGGTGCTAAACCTTCAATGTAGCCCTTATTTCTTTTGAGATGAGACCCAGGATGGCTTCCAAATGTTTACTTGATAAACAAAAAGATGTGTCCTCAAATAGTGTGTTTTAAAATAGCCTCAATCTTTCTCCCTTAAAAATATGGTTTATATTTGAAAGCACACACATATACACACAAACGCAGTGGTTCACCTGAGAGACATCATTGCCTCATATAAAAATTGTCCCATTTCATATAATCTGCCTCATTTCCTGCATTCCATATAGCAAGCTGATGCTGTGCCGACATCCATTTTGAGTTAATTTGACACAGACATCTGCTTGAGAGACTGATCAGTGTGAACATCTTAAATGTAGGTGGATCTTCTGTCATACGCTCTTGCCACACATATAGCGAATATACTGTGTGATAAGTGTGCATGCTGTGCTCCTTCTGTTCTTTTTGTTTTTTCTTATACAAAGTGGCAAAATCAAGATTTATTTTTTGGATTTAAAAAAAAAATTCAAGCCATACATGATTGAATCCATGGATAGAGAAGGCCAACTATATGTATATAATATGCCAGAAATAATTCCATGTCCATGGAGTCCCTGGTGGTGCAGCAGGTTAAACCACTGAGCTGCTCAACTTACTGACTGAAAGATCAGTGGTTTGAAACTGGGGGGCGGGCTGAGCTCTCGCTTTTAGCCCCAGCTTCTGCCAACCTAACCATTCAAAAACATGCAAATGTGAGTAGATCAATAGGTACCGCTCCAGTGGCGCTCCATGAAGTCATGCCGGCTACATGACCTAGGCTCTTTGGCTTAGAAATGGAGATGAGCACCACCCCCCAGAGTCAGACACAACTAGACTTAATGTTGGGAAATCTTTACCTTTACCTTTTAAATCCATGTCCATGTTTATGTAGAGATATTCAGCAAGGTGAATATGTCTACATGAACATATAGTACTGAACACTATATAATGAATCTTAGTATCTGAACAAGCACTAATTTCTCACACCCCAAAATCTGATAATATGATAAGATTGGTATATTATGTCTTCACAGCTTGGACGACGGTATCTCAAAGACTCTTTTTTGCATTCCATTGCCTGAGAGTCGCTTTAGAGCCTTCACATACAGAGGTGCTATGGGTTACTGTTCACAAACAGAACCTCTTAGGCCATATAAAATCCAGATTATCTGCTTTGAACTGGATTATATGACAGTGTAGAGTCATATAATCCAGTTCAAAGCAGATAATCTGGATTCTCTGCTTTGGTCATTTGGATTATATAGCAGAGTAGAAGGGGACTCAGTCATAGCTCCCGGTTCCCCAGAAAAGCTCACCTGGTGCCCTACTTTTAAAAAATCATATATTTAAATATGCCAGTTAAATTCTTGTTTTAGCTGGTTTTAAATTACTTTTTACTGCTTTTTAAAATAAAGACTTAATTGGATTTTAGCTACACCTTATCTCTAATTTATGTGTGCTTCTGTCAGAACAATTTGCTATATGACAACCAATTAGCTGAATAAATAAATGCCCTTCTTCTCCCCATATTAACTTTGTTTGCTTTCTTATCTGTCTCAGGGCAAACTGGCAGCCCAAGGGAAGTTATTGCAGCAGGATACTTTCTATGTAACAGAACAGGATTCTGGAGGGCTATCTCGACCAAAGGAGCGCAGAGTTTTCCTCTTTGAGCAAATAGTCATCTTTAGTGAACTACTTAGGAAAGGCTCTCTTACTCCTGGGTACCTATTTAAACGAAGCATAAAGGTAAGACTTGCTAAGGATTTGTGGTGATGATTAAGTAGGGAAATGCATTTCCTTTCAGAGTAACTGCACTTTTGTTCTTGCCCTTCGTTTATGGAATACCACATGGTATAGTAGGTTTCGGCTGCTTTATTGCAAGAGAGTGTGAGAGAAAATAATCAGTTTTATGATTTTCCCCTGTCATTTGTTTCCTAATATTGAGAATCACTCTACCACCCTGAGCATGCCTCGATCTCTTCTGTCTTTGGAAACTAAGTGGGGTTGAGCTTCACTTTCATATCTGGATATGAAGTCACATGGAAATAGAATGGTTCCAAGGCAGGACTAAGAAAGAATCAGGCTTAAATTTTGAAAGGCCAATGCCAGTCCAAGTACTGAGTGAGGTGGACCAAGTGCCTGCCCTCACTCTGAGAACGTTTCCTGTTTTCCTTTGCAATTTCAGCTGTGGTTAACTACAGGAGAAAGTATGTGTGTGTGTGTGTGTGTGTGTTATGCAAGTGTTCCTTACACAGCTGCATGGTCTAAGAGGGGGCTACAAATAGGTATTTGATAAGCATACAAATGCAAAACCACTGAAGAGCTGAACTTCCTGGTACATGCAGATATGTGTATAATTATCCCCACATCTTCCTGGTTGTGCATAAAAAAGCTACTTTGTGAGAAAGAATTTGAAATAATAAGGAAGCAAGGCAGGGGCACAGTCTTTTTCAGTACCCATATCTCCTTGTTTACCCATGTCAAACAGCAAAGCTTTAAGGACAATGTTGTGAAAACTATGAACTATTTATTAGCTCAGGCCTGCACAACATAGGGCTCATGGCCTTGATGCGGCCCATAAATGACTTCCTTGCAGTCCGTGGAGGCTCTGGGCATCGTCTTTTAGAGGAAAGTTATTGGGAGTTTGACTGCTATACTGGGAGTTTGGTCAGCCTTGAATTTTCCTGTGACGTCTCATCAGAGCTCCTCTCAGCAGATGTTAACAGCACCCTCTCCCTTTCCCAGTCCTTAACTCCACCCTTGCCAGGATTTGACAGCTGTACTTACCTCCCTGGAAAGAAGTGAATTAAAGAGGGTGATCTTTCCCTGGAAAGTAGTGATTTTAAAAAGGTGGTGTCTCCTTTGAAAGTTTAAGTGCTGAAACAGAGTACTTTTCTTAAGCATGTGGAGGGCCAATCTAATTCAGCCTGCATCTTATAGGCTTACATTTTGGATTTGGTGGGAAAGGAGCAATGTCTGATTGAAAAACCTATACATGGCAATTGGATTGAAATGGTTTTATTGTTCAGTGCCAGCCAATAATGCTGAAAGTAGAGTTTGTCTGCACTTTTCTCTGAGGCACACAGAGTGTGACTCAAGACTGAGATAATGTGGCTCACTGAAGACAACCATTTATTACTAACTAGCTTACGTTCCTGGCATTGTTTGGGCATGCATTTTCTAATACTAATTATTAGTAATACTAATTGTTAGCATTATGACTGCTTAGTAATACAAGCTTGAAAGCATTTTTTCAGATTTTCTTACTGTTTACATTTAGTTAGTGATTTTTTCATATTAATGTGATTTCATAATAAATAGAAATCTTACACAATAAGTTTAATTAATTGATATTAATTGAAACTTCATTTTTATAATATGGTTTATTTGCATAATCGTTTATTCATTAATACTGAAAACCTATCTGCAGCCCAAAGTGGTTTCACCTATTTTCATTTCAGGCCCTTACTACTTCCAAGTTGTGCGGGCATGATGTAGCTAAACAGGCTAAACATTCCACAAAATAAAGCTCAAGAAGCACAGTGATTGAGCAAATCATTCAATAGTCTTCCTCTTAGAGAAGCGCAATATTCTGTTGATGCTCATTAGCTGGCAAGATGCCAAGAAAGCAATTTCATTTTGAAAGACCTTATTGTACAGCCATTTGTGTTTTGCAGACCTCACTGTAATGGCATTGCATTTTTAAAGATTGCAGTAATTCAAGGATAATTCAGCAGTTATTGAATGTACTTGGCATAATAGTCGTAGAACCAAACTGAAAGCCAAATATTATTTTCTGATATGTTAGACTTCTCGAGAATCCCTCATTTAGAAAGGCAGACCTAACTGTGCTGTCCCTCAGATTGTTGAGGGGCTTCCCTGCAGCATGATTGACCTGAAAGTAATCTTTGATTCCCTTGAGCTGACAGTGAGCTTTCTTCTATATGCATTCAGATGACATACCTAATCCTTGAAGAAAATGTGGACAATGATCCTTGCAAATTTGCTCTCATGAGTCGAGAAACATCAGAAAGGCTCGTCTTGCAGGCAGCCAATCCTGAAATCCAGCAAGCTTGGGTGCAGGACATCAATCAAGTGTTGGACACACAGAGGGACTTCTTAAATGGTAGGTACTTCTTCTCTGGAACTTGCACTAAAGTCCAAAGGCTTTGTGGTGAGCTCTGCATGCAACCTTATTTTGCATGCAACCTCAATCCTACTTCCACATAGTCTTACTTTTATTGGCCTTATCCATCTTGGTTATGCTCCCAAAACTGCTGCCATCTTCCACATATATGAGGTGTAACAAGAGGAAAAAGTGGTGTGTGTTGAAGAAAAAATCCATTTTTAAAAAAAGCTCAAACAGTTTCTCCCGCTTTCTTTTTCAAAGTAACCTAGCCAGACTTCAGCTGATGCTCCATCATCTGTAGAACTTAGAATGGTATACTTTTATGTCAACAACTACCCCTATTTAAAACAATGTGGATGAATATAAAAAATCAGTTACAAAAAAGTAACTTATAGTAACTACCATTTAGGATGGATCATTTTTTTCTGAATTTATTCAGAAATGTAGGGGAGGCTCATAAGATATCCTTTACTGTAGCACCAAGTGTAATCCACTGCTTTTTAAACTGGGTCCAGACCCCAAATGGGGTCCCCTTAGCTCAGTCTTGAGGTCATGAAAAATTTGGCAACCGTAAATGGTTTTTGAACACCACCTAGACATTTTCACAAATCTGTCAACAGCAATGTGTAGCAACAGTAGACTGCAAAAATTGTTTCAGCTGTTCTTCATTACAACGAAAATCGGCCTGTTTAGCAAATGCTGATTTATTATCAGTAAACATTTTACTTTCTCATTTTATCATTTTACCAATTCTTCTTTCTGTATCTCTTTCATACAACTGATTTCATTGTCCAGCAATAACATGTCCAGGATATCTCTTTCTCTACTTGAAGAAAGAGACTCCTGTTAGGATTTATTTATTTATTTACTATGTTTCTACCCCGCTCTATCTCACCCCGAAGGGGACTCAGAGCAGCTTGCAGTTTTGTAATTTCAATGTTATGTTGCAATACAAAAATATAAATACATCATCTTAAGCAATAAAACAATTAAAACATATAAATACAGTTAAAACTGTTAAAACTGCCCTGAAAAATAAGAGGATAGGTGGGCTGAGAGTGTCTTTATACATGGGATACTAGTCTCCCCACATTATTCTCAAATACTGTAAATTTATTTATTTACACTATTTATACCCTGCCCTTGTCAACCCTGAAGGAGACTCTGAGTGGCCTTATAAAGGCAACAATTTGATGCCATATACACAACAGACATGAAATAAACATATACATTAAAACATGCATTTAAAATCATATAAAGATTAAAAAACATTATTAAAACCAAGCAATCTGAGATCATAGTCACAAAGCTGTTACAATTGTCATTGTATATTTCCATCATCACTTATTGTACTGCACTATTGGCAAAAGTCTTGGTTGCAATGCCATGTTTTTACATGCTTTCTGGAGGTCAGGAGGGAAGGAGCTGAATGATTTTGATGGGGAGGGAGTTTCATAGCCACCACTGAGAAAGCCCTATCTCTCGTCCCCATCAGTCACTCCTAGGACCGAGGACAGGGCCTCCCCAGACAATCTTAATGTCTGAGTTGGTTCGTAAAGGGAGATGCATTTGGACAGGTAAGCTGGGCCAGAATCGTTTAGGGCTTTATAGACTAAAGCCATCACTATGAATTGTGCTGATAGCAGACAGGCAGCCAGTGGAGCTGACGCAACAAGGGGGTTGTATGCTCCCTATATGCCGCTCCGGTGAGGAATCTGGCTTCCATCCATTGGACCACTTGAAGCTTCTGAACAGTCTTCAAAGGCAACCCCACATAGAGCATGTTGCAGTAGTCTATTTGGGATGTAACAAGCGCGTGGACCACTGTGGCCAATATACTGATCAATATATAGTAGACTTGCATCCTGGACAAAAGATGGGGAATTTTATTTATGCTATGTAACTTGCTGTAAAACCTATAAATATGTGCAAGTAGGTGATAAACATGCATAGAAATGGTTTTTGGAAGTGTTGCTTCATTTTTGTATTCTTATTGAAAAACTGGAATTCTGTGTTTTGATTTGTGTGGGGTTTTTTTGCCTATTTCATGTAGCAGTATTTGAACTTTATATAAGAAAAATGAGTAATGAGAGCTTCTTTATAAATTCAAGTAGAATTAAAATGCTCCACAAGTTTTGGAGAAGTATGACTCTTCCAGATTATTGCTATCATCACCCTGATGTGGGAGTTGGCAGATGTCACACTGAGCCCTGAAAGGTCCAAAGCTACAGCATTAAATGTGGTCCTGTATTTGCTCAAATAACACTATTATTTATTTATTTATTTACTGCATTTGTTGACCGCTGCTCTCAGCCCTGGGGCGACTCGCGGCGGTGTACAACATATAAAAAAACAGTTTACAATAAAGCACAACAAGAATCAACATATCAATATTACACACGAATCTAAATTACACTAACTAATCCACGCCGTCACAACATAGAATCGTAGCCAATCTCATAGTCGATATTCCGTTCCAGATGTCATTACCCGTTAATGTAGCACTCAGTTAAATGCCTTCTTGAATAGCCAGGTCTTTAGGCTCTTACGGAAAGCCATAAGGGAGGGCACTACCTAATATTTCCTCCCTATTTCATAACAAGAATTTTCATTGTCTTCCTATTTTGTGCCTAAAATGTATGTAAGAATGCCCTTCTATATAATGTGTTCTGTTTGGAGCATGGTGTCCTTCACATGAGGGCATACAACAAGATTTCAATTGGGAGGCCCAAACTAATGGTTAGTATTCTGCTCTAGCACTACAGTCTCCTATAGAGTATCAACGCAAAGAAAGCAGTTCAGCTGTCATGAGACCACAGGCCAGCAGGGTACCCCAGCCCATCACCAGACCCTATTCCTCAGGTCCTGTTGGGTCTGATAAACCTTTGAAGGCAACCATGCGTAACCCATCTCTTCCACCTCTGAAGATATCTACCTCCAATGGCAGCACCGGACATGAGCAACATCAGATTGGGGAAAAATATGAACAAAGCAAGGTATGTCATTTTTGCTATCTTTCTTGGACCTTATTTGTCACTATCATTTAAAATTTGTCTGCCTACTACCATAGACAGTGGAGCAAGTGTCTGATCTGGTTAATCAATATGTAAGTGGTAATTGCTGATCCAAGAAGTAATAGTCTTTATTTCTCCTATGGGAGATATGCGTGGTGCTGTTGAAAAAAATGCAAGCAAGCATGAAGAGAAATATTTTTTTTCACCTTCCATTTTTTAGCAATGTGGCTGCCCTTCAAGCTGGGTCTGGCTCCTTGCTCGCACTTCACAGGCAGGGCAGGTTATCTGTCAATCAATCTTAACACCTAAAATGTGAGAGCCAGTCGCATTTTCCCAGCTCCATCCTTCCTCTGCTCATTTCAGGATAGGGCTTTATCACTTTTCCAACTAAATCTGTTTTGCTTCACTATTTGTACTGTATTCTGTGAAGGTCTTATCTGGATAGTTCCACTCTAACATGCTAGACTCATCTCAGTGTTTCTGGCTGCTGTTTGATGAGATCATCTGCTCTTTAGTTCTTATCACCGTAATGGGGCTGGTTCTGTTGAAGGGAATGCCCAGAGAATACGATCACAGCCTCTCTTCTGATGAGGTGGTGGTGTATGGGATCATGGAAGAAGCACATTTGAGGTGTGTAGAAGATGTGGACCAGAGTCTGGAGATGGGTTATTTTGAGGCAATGATTGTGGCTGAGAGTATGATCTGTGAGTGTAACAAGTAACAACTGCTTCAGATCTTCCTACTTTCCTCCTGCTGCCCAAGATAGGCAGAAACTTCCTGGGAGTTATTCATCTAAATAATTCATTTAAATAATTGAAATGGCAAGGATTTTAGAGTATCAAGAGAAAGGGCGCACAGGCTCAATTCACAGCTTTCTACTCGGTATCATCTGTCAGAGTCCTCCCTCCTCAGGAGGAGATCTGAGATTGTATCAAGCAAGCATCTTTTGTAGTTTCTCTTCCTCTTGACAAGGAAGAAAGAGAGAGATTCTCTGTCTCAATGTTTTTCTCTATGGTTGTCTGCCTACTACCATAGACAGTGGAGCAAGTGTCTGATCTGGTCTTTTTAAGGAAGATGGAAAAGACTTGGGGTTTGCCTGTAAATCTGGCATGGGCAAACTTCGGCCTTCCTGGGGTTTTGGACTTCAGCTCCCAGAAATCCCAGCCAGCTTACTGGCTGTTAGGAATTGTGGGAGTTGAAGTCCAAAACACCTGGAGGACYGACATTTGCCCATGTCTCCTATTAACAGCAAGAGTACTGGCATAACTAATGAAACAGTGCCAGAGATCAGATCTAAGGCCAGACACAATGATACTGTTGCTTCCTTCCCCAGTTGTTTATGGAGGTTATGGGGGGGGGGGGAGAATGACCCCATTCAGGGGTGGAGAATGTGATATCTGCTGTTGCTAGTTGCTTTTATTCATTGTCGCCTGATATGATGAAGAAATTAAGCTCCTGCTTTTTCTGCTCCTATGGTTGGGTTAGTGTCATGTTTATTTATAAGCAATTGAGATGATTATCTTAAGAATCCAGAAGAAGGTTGAAATGCTTTTGAGAAAGTTTATGAGGCCTCAAATCTTGCAGTTCATGCTGCTTCTGTAACTTCCTTATTTGCTAGGATTTTAATTGAAAAGTCCTTTCAGACAGCAGCTCAGTCCTTGTGCCAGTCAGCTTTCATATGATATTGTTTCTTGTGCCCACTTTTTGCTTGATATTCAAGCAGTGCTTCTTTTAGTTCAGAGCACGGTCCAGAGTGACTCCCAGGTATTTGGGTGTGCTGCAGTGCTCCAGTGGGATTCCTTCCCAGGTAATCCTCAGAGCTCGAGAAGCTTGTCTGTTCTTAAGGTTAAAAGCACATGTCTCTGTTTTAGATGGATTAGGTATCAGCTGGTTTTATCTGTAATACGCAGTAAGAGCACCTAAAGCTTTGGAGAGCATCTGTTCAACCATCTCAAAGCTCCCTGCTTGAGAAGTAATGGCACGATTGTCAGCATAGATGAAACTGTCTGTCCCTTCTGGCAGTGGCTGATAATTTGTGTAAATGTTGAACATTAATGGAGCAAGCACGCTCCTGTTCAGCTTCTCTGGCCCTGGAATTCAACAAAAAAGCTCCTTTTTGTAGCAGATTCCCTATGAGGCAGGTGAGGTGGTAGTCCTGTGTGATATTATAAATTTTCTCAGAATAAGGCAATGATTTACGGTGCCATAGGCTGCCTACAGGTATATGAAGACAGCTCCTGTAATTTGCTGCCTTTCAAAACCGTCTTGTATGTGGCAAGTCAGGTTCAACACTTGTGATGTGCAGCTTTTGCCTTTCCTGAAGCCAGCTTGCTGTGGGATCATAAATGTTTTCCATGATTCTTTGCAGAATAAGTCTCTCCAGAACTTTGTAAAGATGGCACAGCAAGGAGATTGGTCTATAGCTTTTTGGATAATGATCAGTTGCCTGGTTTCATGATGGCAATGACTCTTGCTTTCCTCCAGATTTTGGGGATATGACAGGAATGCAATGCAGTTGTTCAGTGGCCAGTACCTTGCTTTTGGGCCAAAGTTCTTAATTTGTTCCATCCATAGATCACCCAGTCCAGCTGCTTTGCCATTTTTGCGTTTGTTGAGGGCCATGTTCAATACAGTAAATGTAAAAGGTTCATAAAGGTTGTTGTTCTCATTATCTGGTTGTCTGACTATTGGTTTCTTTCCTACTTTGGTGGCAAGGTTGGGTTTCCCATTCTTCAGAAATTGATGAGCTATCTCATCTGCCTTTATATTGACATGAGTATTAGTTTGTGAGGGATCATTGCTCAGCTCTCTCAGCATCCTCCATGCCTTCTGGCTGCTCCTGCCATGTCAATTTCTGTTATCAGCTGTATCCACCATTCTTACTTAGCTTCAGAGATGGAAGACAAAATGCTCTGCACTGCCTGAAGAGTTTGCTCACTAAATGAGTCTTTGTTGTGGAGCCTGTAATAGTCTTCCAACAAGGCAGCTGCTTCAGGAGTTATGCCCTGAAAGTCGTGTGTTCTGCAGCCTCTTGGTATAGAGGCCAGTGAGTAGGTTTTGACTATTTCAATAAAGTGCTCATATTCCTCAGGCGACTGATATGGTCTCATCTAACTTGAGATTTTAGTCCAATCTGCCTTTCTGAAGTTTAAACTTTCTAGAAATCGGACTTTCTGAGGCTTTATATTTGGTAACAATTGGCATACTATTGGTCGGGTTATATCCTCGGTGCCATCTCCCATGTTGTAGGATGATAGTAGCTTACTATCATGTATAAGTGATAGTTCGTGCAGTTCAGCCCAGGAGAGGACAGCCTCTCCATTTTTATCCTCCTGAGCATAGCCCCATACATGGCCTTGGCTGTTAAAGTCACCAATTACTTACCACCCTTTGGTGCCTATCAAAGTTCTCAGTTAAATGTGATATATTGAATGTAATGATTTTAAAGTGTCATTGTACCATAGCAATCTTGTCATTATTACTTTGTATATTTTCTTCCTAGAATGACTTGGGTGGTTGCAATGGGACCTCTTCTATGGTGGTCATCAGAGATTACTATGCACTGAAAGAGAATGAAATCTGTGTCAACCAGGGTGAGGTGGTCCAAGTACTTGCCATTAACCAGCAGAACATGTTCCTTGTGTACCAGCCTGCCAATGACCATTCACCAGCAGCAGAAGGATGGATCCCAGGGAATATCTTGGCTCCCCTCACTAAATCAGCTACAGATAATAGCGACGGAAGCATAAAGTAAGTGCTGTGTTGGATTCCCTGGGAGCTGTATATGGATTTTTGAGGAATAATAAAATCCAGATGGTAGGATTTCCCTACTTTTTAAAAAATCTACAGTGCCATTGGAACAAACTTTGCTTGATCACACAGCATGGGGTTTCCATGTTGGGATAGTCGGGTTTTTGTTGAATTTTTGGTTTACCCCCTATAGTTTGTAAAGAGTTGACATCCATAGACAGTTTGAAAGGCATGTTTTATGTTTTTCCCATCATTTCCTAATAATGGACCTGATTTGGACTGGACATCTATTTATCTTGTGTTTAAATTGTTTATAGATAAAGATATATATATATATATATATATATAGGTTATAATGATACAGAGCAAAAACACAAACAAGCCGTCAACCAGAAATGTCAGGCCCTGCATTGGATTGCGTCCTACTTCTCAAGGAAGAGAGTTTACGTTGTCTATGGCAATTTCTTGTACAGCTTGTAACATTTTTTATTTTTATTTTTTCTGTTCACGTAATATTTTGTAAAAAAAAATGCTTTGAAAACCCCCCTTTGGAATACATTCCTGTAAAAAGTATTTTGCACTATTTAAAGAAATCCATATTTGAAGTCAGGTTGTGCAATATTATGGATAATCACAATGTTCATCATTGTACCTGTAATGTAACTAATAATTTTAAATGTACTATTTTAAATATGTAAAATAAATTTTCACCATGAGCATGTTTTGACAAGGTTAAAAGGACCAGTTTCTGACCCGCTTTAGTTCTTTCCTTTTCTTACAAAGTTTTGTTGTTTATTTAACAAATGTATGAATACTATTTCCCTTTTTTGAAATATGTCAATTTGAAATGACTAAATAATGCAAGAATATGTTTTTGATATTAAATACTGAAGGTACAATCCTAACTGTTGGGTTTTTTAATCTTCAGTTGTTAAGCAAAAATGTTGGTTTTTGTACACATTTCTTGAAGTCCAGTTGTTTCAGAAAGGCTGTATTTCACTTGAGGTGAGGCATAGACTTAATGTGCATTTCAAAAGAAAAGGAGAAAGAGAAAGAAAAGAAAGTAGTCCAATGTAGATCTGGCGCTCCTAGTGTAATAAACAAGGATGGACAACTTCCTTACTTTCCAGATGTAGATCCAGCCATCATAAGAATCAGTAAGGAATCGCTTCTCGGCCTTTTGGCTAAGATCAAGTGTAAGAATCAGTAAGGAATAACCAGAGTTATCATCAATATCTCAAGGGTTGCAAGTTGTCCATCCCTGTCATATCAGGATACTGGAACAGCACACACAAACCTTTTATTTTATTAGCATAATTAGTTTCATTTGCATAGATGCCTGCGAGGTTTAATCTAAACAGACTTTCTGCCTAACAAGATTGAAGCATGTTTGGAAGTCTTGTTTTAGAAGAAACTTACATACTTAGTGTTCATTATGACATTCATGACTGTGAGTATAACACACTGAATTTCATTTAAGGCCAACAAGCAATTAGATACCAGACCTCCCAAAAGAGTTCCAAAGTGTTATAGAGACTTTGAGATGTTTGGCTCCTATCTTCATGGGAGTCCTGTGCTGATTTTGCCATTTTCATGTGATTTCATTTAGAAATAGCCGAATAAGCATGGTCATTAAATGAGGTGAGATAAAGAAACAATTAGTCCCCTGGCCTGGCTGCTGATGAATGCATTGTACTGTTGCTGAACAACACTTTTTCTCCCTAGCAGCAATCTCTGTTTCCTATAATGTATCCTAAGTGATTTGCCCGTGTGGATTTGGGATTGATATTTATAGTATGGACATATTGACCATAATAGTGTTCTACTAGAAAATGGTATGGGAAGCAAACATACAGGAAACAATATGTAACTGCAAAATGAGGTGGGACATTATATACAGTACATAGAGCTGTGGAAGAGGAAAGTCCACATGACAGAAGTAGAGATTAAGATTAAGCAAAACCCTTATCAGTATAGTCTTGTTAAATAGGGATATATTTCCTGTAATAGGGATATATTTCCATAAAGGTTCATGGAGGATTTTAGAATTTTCAACAGAGATTTTTCCTGCTTCCAAAAAGCATGGTCACTGGAATAAATCTGTGTATTTGCACAAGCCTGTCTGTCAGCTAGAGCATTCATATTAAATCTCACCTATGTTTCACAGTACTCCAGTGACACAATTGTGTACAGCTTGTATCAAATAAGCAGAAGAAAATTTGGAGAATGCATCATTAGGGACTTGTCTAAATGTATCAGCAAAAGTGAAAAATGTTTCCCCATTGCTGTTACTGGTTCAGTTAGCTGAGAATCTGCAGATTCTTCTATTTAACCAGCTTTGTTTTAATAATGTGTACGTTCTTATTACCTTACAATATCTTCCAAAATATTATATTCTCTCATCTTCTTTTGGAGCCATTAAAATGGGGGAAAAGTGTTCCTTACAAATGCTGAATTACGGTATTTCTATACTCCTTGTATTGTTTTGTAAAAGTGGGCCAACTACATAGTTCTTCTGTAATCTTGCATTACTTTCATTGTTTTAACTAGAAGAATTTTTAGTCTACTTCTAAATCCTTGCATGTGGCAAATTTTATTTATAATGTATGCTTTCACCTGCAGACCTTCCATCATCCTTTAAAGAAAATGCTTTTTTTTTTCAAATGGCAAGAATACCGAAACAATCATTCTAGAACAGTTTGAATTTCAGAATTGAAGGTTTGTACCAAAATAGAGGTGTTGCAAATGGCTTCCATCTCCTTAGCAGAGCTGCAGGGGTCAAGAGCGTGTGTGCTGATTGCCTTCCAACATCCCTTCCTCTTTTTTTCTAAGATATGCCATTTGATTGGTGCATTTTTTGGTACAACAGGAAGTCATGTTCATGGCATACTCTGCGCATGAGAAAGCGGGCGGAAAAGGAAAACAGTGGCAAAACTGAAGCCAATGGCCTACGTAAACCCAAGGATATTCTGGGCAACAAAGTCTCTGTTAAAGTGAGTAAGGCCATTTGAAGATGTGCGCTGCCCACTGCTTCTCATCTTCACCCCCTTAGAAACATTCCTTTCTAAGGACAAGGGGTGATGTCTGGCTTTTTTTGTTGTTGTTTTGGTTTTTTAGCTTTTTTAGCTTTTATTTTTAATTTGTTTTACTGTTTGGTAGTAGTAGCCATTTTGGCCGGATTTTGCATGCAAGATACAACACAGCTTTTCCTCTTCGCCACTGGCATACAAACTGTAAGTAAGGAATGAGAGAGTGCATGTGTGTGAGAGAGACACTTCAGAAGCTTAATGCAATATCAGAAACGTACTGTATTTACACAACTGTCAAGAGTTGAGCAAAAATCTCTTAAATGAAGTAAAATTATGCCTGTCCAAATGAGAAAAGCCCTCAAGCATGTTCTAGATATTAATAGATCAGAGGGTATATGTATCAAATGATCCCACAAGAGCAGCAGGGTGCCTTGGGCAAGAAGCCATGGTAATGTAGGACATCTCGTGTTAAAAAGATACTGAATTATCAATCTAAAAATATTCCACCAAAAGTAATGGCAGTAATCAATTATTATTGATAGCTAGATAGTTCAGATTCTATAACCTTCCCAGAGCTACAATTCCTAGGAAATCTCTGTCAGTCAGACACATCTATGTGGTTTGTATGGGCCTTCAAGTTGCCTATCGATTTATGGAAGCCTCTTAAATTGCATAGGATTTTCTTAAGCAAGATATATTCAATAATAGTTTTGCCAGTTCCGTCATCTGAAATATAACCTACAGCATTTGGTAGTTGTTGGCAATCTCCCATCCGAGTGCTAACCAAGCCTGACCCTTCATAGCATCCAAGATCAGACATGATCTGCTGTTTTTAGGGTGTAGTGCCATTAGTCAAATTGACCATGCTGCAATTTATGCCATCTTACTCTTTCTTAAGTACTAAGGATGAAGAAGAAAAGTTTTCACCTACATAGATTGTTGTCTCTTTGACCAAACTATAATCTCCAGGACTCCACAATATGTTGCCATGGCAGTTGACAATTGTTTCACACCAGAAGTGACTTGCAGTTTCTCAAGACACTCCTCACACACACACACACACACACACACACACACGGAATGATACACTGTGACTCTCCAGTATGAATGGGTCTCTGGCATTCTATTTATCACAGAATCATATAGATGGATTCTATATGATCTCCTGTGTAGAAACAGTTCAGGTAGTTTACAATTCTAGGGATTATAGCTTCCCATTAAAAACTGAGGTGAGAAACATTTAGTCTCCTTTTTTGTCCTTGTTTTTGTGTTCCAAATGACCAATGGTCCACCAGGTTGCCTAAGAAGAATCCTGTAGATAATTGGAGACATTTGAGGCACACTCACTGAGCGCATGGCTTCGTAGGGGATTCAATTTTATCTCTGCTATGAATATTTTGTACTGGGCATACCAGGAATAACCTTTTTGCCAAAGAGAAAGAGCTACAAGTCTTTTGATGGCACATAATGCCAAACAATGCAAAAAAGCCTCAATCTGAGAGAACTTAACACAATTTAAAAAAAACTCATTAAGATTATTGTTGTAATGAAGCTTGAGTATCAAGGCTGTGAAATAAACACGTATACTGTTCGGCATACCTTTGATTAGGACTATCTGTCGCAGATTGACCTTCTTCCATGGGAGGGAGAACCTGAAAAGCCTTGGCTTGCATCTTTTAAAAAAACTTCCAACCACGTCTTGGAAAAACAAACAGCTACTTTTTCCTCAGCAGTTATAACAAAAGCAGGTTCTCCTTTAATATAAACATAAACATTACTGATAACACTAGTTCTTGGGCAGATAGTCCATAAACAACATCCAGCAGGCTGGTCTACTCACAGATCAATGTTTTGCTTTTTTCTTTGTAGGTTAATCATTTGCCATCCCAAATGTCTCCAATTCCTCCATTCCATCCCTCTCACCACTCTTTCCCCTGCTTTTAGTGTTCTTCCTTTTCAGTTCTTTTTCCCAGCCCCTCATTACACATTCCTCTCAAATTCCCAGCTGTACCATATTACATTGTCCTGTGCTTCGGTGTGTTTGTCATTTCTCACAGCTCTTCTTTACTGCTGGGTTTGTTTGCCTTTTGGTGTGGCCCTCTTTCTCCACTCTGTTACACTACCTTTTTAAACTCCTTTCTGAAGACTGTCCATCTTGAGGAAAGCCCTACCAATCAGCACATACAAACACACAAATATCCAATGTGTCTATAATTGACATCATGTCTCTGTTTAAGTAACTATGTCAACAAGAGAAGTGGCTATATGTTCAGTTTGTGTTACACACTATTCAGAACACATTGCACAATCTGCTGAGTAGATTCATGGAACATTTAAATGATTTAAAATATGTGCAACATTGTCTACTGAAATCTGTATGTATAGCTGTATTAGTCTAAGATAACAAAATGCAAAGGGATCTTATAGCACTTCAGAGACTAACTTGAAAGAGCTCAGTTGGTTTCATAGACTAATTCTTCTTCCTTGGATTGCTCTGCCAGGATCCATTCTTACTAAAACACTCTAAATCAGTGGGTCTCAACTTGTGGGTCCTCAGATGTTTTGACCTTCAAGTCCTGGAAATCCTGGTAAACTGGCTGGAATTTCTGGGATTTAAAGGACAAAATACCCACAGGTTCTAAATGCTACTTGAATCAAGAATTGTGCACTCATATTTACCCTTAACTAACATACAACATATGACAAAAATTGGTGTCCAAAACTATTTTGAAGTTATTTATAAGTCATACGATTATGGAACTCCCGACTGCAGGAATGGCCTGTTGTACTTAGTCAATTTTCCCATTGCTGAATCTTGGACTACTGCCCATCTCCTACCTAGTGTGTCAGCGCTGTAGCGGGACAACAAAGAATCACTCTGAAACATCCACAGAAGATATTTTAAGGAATTTGCAATCTGCAACTGCAAACAGGTCACCTATTAAGTTTGTTGTCTGCATTCAGCTGTAGTGGGAAAAGGGCTTGATCTGCATTTTGGGGCAAAAATTAAGACAGTACAATCCCTGTATCCATGGGTGATAACTTCCCATTCTTGAATGGAACAGATTTAAATTCAGCAACTCATCCTTGGCCAAATGATTTAGTTCTACTTAAATGTGTTCTCAAATGCTAATTCAAGCTTGCTAATTGCAACATTCACACTTGCTTTAAACAGACAAGGGTTCTTTTTCCCACCCTGGATATATATACATACTCGACTTGCCTCTCTGCCAACAGAATCTCTGAAGATGCTTGCCATAGATGCAGGTGAAATGTTAGGAGAAAATGCTGCTGAACATGGCCATACAGGTCAAAAAACTCACAGCAGCCCAGTTACACAAATGCTTTTGCTCAAACAAGGCCAGTCTAAATTAATAAAAGTGCTACCAGTTGATGCACAGTATGTGTACATTCTTGTAATAGAGTTTGTTTGTTTTTGTTGTAACTCACTCCTGTTTGTTGGCTCTTCTGTTCCAGTGTTCCTTTCCCCTGTTGTTTACCTGTGTTCATGGAATTACAGAGCGTCAATATGGTTTAGCAGTTTGAGTTCTGGATTGGGACTCTGGAAGATCAGAGTTGGAATCCCTTCCCTGCCATGAAAACCCACTGAGTGGCCTCAGAAGAAAACAATGGCAAACCTCCTCGGAACAAATCTTGCTAAGAAAATCCTATGAAAGGGTTGCCTTAATGGCTTTATTAGTTAGAAATGAGCTGAATTGGAAAACAAAACAACTAGAGAAACATAAACATTGCAGTACTTGAATAGGCGGGTGGCATGTTGATTTCTAGCAGGTAGTGTTTTCCTCTTCTGTGTGACCAGAAACGCCTGCTGAAGTTCTTTAAGTGAAACTATTAAAGCAGCTATGGCCGCCCTGGGGAAGTAGGCATCTTTATGCCCCAGGAACCTCAAGGGACACACCACTGCCAAAAAGTAGAGCAGGAGATAGCACTGCAACCTCTATAAAAGATGACTTTAGAAGTTTCAGGGAGAATCAATTTGCTCTGGGATTGTTTTGGGGTTTTGTTTTTTTTTAACCTGGGATCAAAAGTCTGCTGTTGTCAAAAAGCCCTACTTCCAGAAGTGTGTCTGAAGTGTTGCTGAGTCCGTTTGCATACTGACAAAATGAGTAATCAGTTCTGGCAGCAGTAAGAGTGCTAAGTGGTTGGGGAGGATAGGATGCCTGGGTTGATTCTTGTGGCAACCAGGCAATGGATGCTGCAACAATTAATTCAATGACTGGAGGTAGGGCGTCCATGAATACCATGGCACGTATGCTACAGTCTACTGTGTTCTTAATGTTTCTTAGAATTGGGGACAAGAAATGCCAAAACAGAAACAAAACACCATTTGGATTTTGAAGATGCATGTTAATTTAGAAATCTGCATTTGCAAACTTCAGATTGAATTTATATTCAAGTTGTTTGAAATTTATGTGAAAGATTGACAAATGCATTGAAGCATCACACCACTCAAATTCAAAAACATTTTCCACTGGAAGATTGAACTCCTTCAAAAATCCTCATTTTTGTACTTATGGGACTATTCAATCTACTGGCTGCACCAGAATTGTTGTGAAGTCTTTGAGGCCTTGGCAAATTGGGAAGCTGTTATAGCAGAGGTAGCTTTCATATTGCTGCTTCCATAATGCATTGTTTCTAAGCCTGCTACTCTTTTTGTTCTTGTTGGAGTCTGTTGCTTGCTTCCTAGCGCTTTTCTGTTGGAAAGCATTTGTTACCAGCACACATATCTGTTTATGTTGCTTTGTTGTTCTTGTGTCTGTGATTTCTTTAATGATTGTAACTCTGCTCTCTTTTTCTCCATGCTGCCAAAAAGGAGACAAACAGTTCAGAGGAGTCTGAATGTGATGACCTTGACCCCAACACTAGCATGGAGGTAGACCATAACCCTTTCTACCATCCTTTCCCTGAAACCCAATACTACATTCCCAAAAAAATTGTTTGCCTATTTTAAATAGTATCTATCTCTGCATCTAGAATCCATTCAGGGTTGACTGAACTATCAGGCAGGTGGTGGTGGCTGCACTTAGCATCCTTGAGCCAGCAAATGTAATTTAACAGCACATATATGGCCATTTGAATTTAACACATAATAGATCAAGTGATTGTGCAGTAGCCCTGAACGGACTGCAAATATATTGTTGGGGGTTTTAAGAATCCAAATTCTTAAACAAATTGACATCCATTAGCAAACAGCTTTAAAATCTCCCAGAAAACTGGAAAATCTAGTAGTTGTAATTGCAGAATTATGTTATTAACTATTGACTGAGAGGCAATTAAGTTTGTTAATGTTTGACAATATGTACACATCCCAGCTGGTTCTTTAATCAAAACTTTTCTTGGATTTTTGGATTGTGTTTTTTGTTATATTTTTTGAAAAAGTACATAGTATAAAAGCTTCCCTACTATTTCTTGACACTTCCATCCATATCTAGTGCATCATCATCTTGTTTTCTAACACAAGGGCAATCTGGTTTTGCAGACTTTGTGTTTCAAGATACAAAGCCAGGAAAATAACAAATGCGTATTCTACCTATTCATACTTTCCCCAGAAAGTTTTGCCAAAACAGATCCTGTCAATCTAAGAAATGGGAGTGCTGGACAGTTTATGTAAATACAATGCTTAAGAATCATACTCCTTTGATAGTTTTGTAAATATGCTCTTAATTATAATTTTTATCAATATTAACTGCTTGCCATGATCGGTGGTAAGTGAATTTGCCAAGTAAATTCACTCTCCCTATGTGGAGAAAGGCAGAATAATAATAAAGTAAGTAAATAAATACTAGATTGTTATAGGTTTTTCGGGCTATGTGGCCATGTTCTAGAAGCACTCTTTCCTGACATTTCATCTGCATCTGTGACAGGCATACTCAGAGGTTATGGTTAAATAAATACTATTTTCAGTTATATATAGTGCATACAATAGGGCCATGTTTAATAATAAATACATTAATTTCTTATATGAAAATGACCCTTCTTATATGAAAATGACTTCAGTTGTGAACACAAAATTTGATACATTACAAGGAGGTAAATTCTTACCTTTTTGCTTCCTCAGTGTGTTTGCTTTTGGCTAAACAATGTTATACATACATATATTTTATGATGGTCAATAACCAGCACCAACAATGTTATAATAATACCATAGTATTCACTGTGCAGTTTAGTTTTAAATAGAATACCTATTGTTGGCCTCAGTGCTTTGTTTACGTGAATGCAAAAACTGTGGAAAAGGATGAGGGAACCTAGGTAAAGAAAACAAGATTGACAGCAATATATGTGTTGAGGCTCAAGGACTAGGCCTACAGGTACCGCATTCTAATGTTCCAGAACAGTGCATCTCAGACTGTGGGTCCCCAGATGTTTTGGCCTTCAACTCCCAGAAATCCTAACAGCTGGTAAACTGGCTGGGAGTAATGGGAGTTGTAAGTCAAAACACCTGGGGACCGACAGATTGAAAACCACTGCTCTAAAAACTGTAGGTTCTGTTCTGACTCTCACCATAGGTCAGGAGTAGGTAATCTTTGGTTTCACTGAGTCCTTCAGCTACATTTCCCACCAGCCAAAGCTAGCACAACCAATACTAAGGGACTAATGATATATCCACTAGGCCTGGGTAACAACGGAAAAATTTGTTTCTAAAATCGATTCGTTTTTTGGGGGTTTTTGCGTTTCGATATTTAAAAGAATTCCAAAATTTTTCTTTTAAAAAGTTCGATATTTACGAAATTTCGTAAATGTTAAAAAAATTACGGAACATTAACGAACCAAATACGAAACAATAACGAATCGATTCGTTAATGGCGGACGCAACCGCGCAATACGCTAAAAAACCTCCAAATGGGACAGGGGGAACTTCTGAAGCTTCCCTCTCCCTCTGTTGTTGACTGTTGGTGTGATATTATAATTTTTTTTCACTAATTAAACAAAAAACAACTATAAAACTTGCCCCAGACATGCGGAAATAATAACGAAACGACCTCAAACCGATAACGAAACGAATACATAACGAATCCGAAGCATTTACGAAACGAATTTAAAAATTCGTTTCATTTTTAAGTTGCTCCAGAATGGTTCGTTATCGCTTCGTTATAAAAAAATAACGAATTTTTAACGAATTACGAATTAACGAAACAAAACCGCCCAGCCCTAATATCCACCACTGCCTCAAGTGCTGTCCCCTATATAGTATTTATTAGGTTGCTTCCATGAAAAGGAATGCATCCCTGTGACTGAATGTTTGTCCTTCTGGTGATCTTGTGCTTCTACCATATTCTTTGTCTGTCGGACTCATAAATGGCTCCTGTGCTGTTTTCCAACAGTCTTACTACTTGCTTGGCACTTGTTTTTGTCCTGTACGTGCAAATACATCTGTGCTGCTTTCAGCAACTCTGCCTTAGAATTGGGGTTTGTGGCCATCTTCTCAACAACTGTCTTGAAACTTCCTGAGTCCCACTTGTAAGGTTCTGTTGTCCTTTGAATTCATGCAAGTTCTCCCTCACCCTGCTTCTTCACAAAAACACAAATGTGGCATGGTTTGCATAGGATATTTCATTGATGAATATTACGTCTTTCTCAGACCAAAATGTCCCTTCACAAAACCTCCATTCCCTAAGCTTCATTCTGAATAGATGCCCCCTGCTTGTCTTGAAGAGGATGTATGAAAGAAAGAAAAGAAAGAAAGAAAGAAAGAAAGAAAGAAAGAAAGAAAGAAAGAAAGAAAGAAAGACAACAACTATTGGCCAAACAGTAACTTAACCATTGTGCAAGCTTATCACATGCACCATTCAGGCAGGTTTTGAGGTGAAATTCACAATTCTTCTGCCCTAAATGTAAATGTGAAAAATCAGTGTGGAATGCTAACGTTTCCCATCATTTGGTAGGACCACTTCATGTACACAATGGTAAGCTGCTGTTTGATGATTCCATTAGTTATTTGGAATAATTCCTATTTAATAACTGAAACTCCTTAAGCAGATGCTGACATGATAATTCTTAAGGAAGAGCAGCCTTATAATCCCAGCTTCAGTGATCCAATCGGATGCTTTTTCTCCTGGTGCAATTTTCTGCTCCCAAATTATCAGTGGGTCAGCTTATATATGCCCCCAAGACATTATTTCCAGTGCAGAGCATCCAAGGGAACAAACAGCTATTCAGCACTATCTTCAGAAGAAAATTTGATCTGGGTAACCAATTGGCTGCTTTTCTTTCAGAAGGGTTGTGGAATCATGAACCCCATTTGTAAGCATGGATAAACTAAATTGCCATTTGGCTTCACATTTGGCCTGTGCAGTGCCAGAAGGAAATTAAATAATAAATTGGGGGGGGGGGGCAGGTGCTGAAGTACTTTTTGTGTACTTGCTTTACACCAAGAAACAAAGACCTTCCGCATATACCTATCACTGTTCTCAGCTATCTGGGTTTTCCATTTGCACAAACTTTTTGCAATTGCAGAGTTTCTGCAATGGTTCTGCTCAGACACTGCCTCCTTCTAGGCCAGTGGTTCTCAGTCTGTGGGGCCCCAGATGTTTTGGCCTTCAACTCCCAGAAAACTTAACAACAGGTAAACTGGCTGGGATTTCTGGGAGTTTATTTATTTATTTATGAGCTTTTTACCCTGCCTTTTTCACCCCGGAGGGGAGTTGTAGGCCAAAACACCTGGAGACCCACAGGTTGAGAACCACTAGTCTAGGCCAGGGGTCTTCAAACTTTTTAAATGGGGGGGGGGGCGGTTCATGGTTTCTCAGACTGTTGCGGGGGGGGCAGACTATAGTTTGGGAGGAAATGAACTGATTCCTATACACACTGCACATATCTTACCTATAATGCAAAAACAAAAATCAATAAAAGACAAAACAATATTTTAAATGAAGAACAATTTTCACCAACATAAACTTACCCATCTTTCAATGGGAAGTGTGGGCCTACTTTTGGATAATGAAATAGTCAATTTAATTAGGATTGTTGTTGTGTGCCTTCAAGTAATTTCAGACTTAGGGAAAACCTAAGTCTAAAGTTTAGGGCAGGGGCCAGATAAATGACTTTGGAGGGCTGCATTCAGCCCATGAGCCTTAGTTTGGGGACCCCTGGTCTAGGCCATATGTGGTCCCTGGGTGCCATTTTTGTGGAGGATTGTCTTCCTCCTGCCGAAATGCTTTCTTCAATTTCAGCCATTTACTCCTGGTGAGAAAATGACTTACAGATCAAAAAGTATTGTGAGGTAGCTGTGTCAACAATAAAGCAGAAAGCAACAACACCCCCACCACTGAACCTAAAATCCATCCTGTGGTAATACTTTTACATGGCCAATCAAAAGAAGAAAAATGGATCGTGCTACCTGTCTAAACTTTGCAGGCTTCTCAATTACTCAAAGATGGTAAAAAGTGTAGAAGGGAAAGAAAAAGTGACAGTGTTGCATTCACAACATTTATATTTGGAGGTGAGATGTTATAGGAAGTGTGAACACATGCACTATGTAGTTCTCAGAGAATGGTGACTTGTAACTTCAGAAGAACCGTAACTTTGTTGTCTCTCTTTGATTACATTTGTTTTCTTTTGGGTTACAGCCATGTGTATGAATGAGAGGGGGGTGGGTCCATTGGTATTATTGTTGAAGTCCAGTCGTAGGGTTTGATTGGCAAGATTTATTCAGTGGAGGTTTGCCACTGGCCAAAAGACTGTGACTTGCCCAGGATCACTTAGTGGTTTTCTGTGACTGAGCAGGGATTTGCACTCCATCTCTTTGCTTTCTTTGCCTGGTGAAGAAGCCTGTGGTGTTTTGAAAGCTAGCATGGCAAATTTCATGTCTTTGTTTGACATAATAACTTTTGTATTTTATCCATAATGTACCCTGATTCTTCAAAGTTGACTTCCTAAATGAAGCATTTAAATACTTAATGGGTGCTGCAGCAGTGCTATTGCTTTTCATACAAGCCTTATTCCTATTAACACATGTCTTTGAAACCTGTGGGGCCTTATAGAATTTTTCCTAAGAATTTTAATGGTAAGCAATAAAAATCTGTCTATTATATCTGGCATATCTTAACAAAACCACAAAATAAATTTATACCACTAAACCACAAGGCCAGACAAATGATTAAAGGTGTACTGAATTCACATACAGTTGAAATGTAAATGCTCTTTGAGTTGTGTTTTCTCCCACAAAATATAAAATAAAATCAAAAGTGGCTGTAGGAGATTCAGCCTCATCAATGTATTTGATCAAAAATCCAAACATCTACCAAGATCACAGTCTTGGAATGGTTTTAGAAGAACGAACGCTTTGCACGGAATAGGTATTGCCCAAACTAAAATTTCTGTTGATGAAGAGAGGCCCAAGATGCAGTGTATAATGAAGTTGAGAGAAACCATGACATGTAGTCCAATGGGAGCTCTGACTAGAAAGTCATTTCTTTTTAATTGATGGCAAACAGAGGTTGTCAGTAGTTTAGATTGTTTACTTGTCTGTTTAGAGCAGGTATGGGCAAACCTGAGCCCTCCCTCCAGGTGTTTTGGACGTCAACCCCCACAATTCCGAATAGTCTACCGGTTGAAGTCCAAAACACCTGGAGGGAGGGCCCAAGTTTGCCCTTGCCTGGCTTAGAAAGATAATTTTGGCAGGGAAAATGTATAACATTGAGGATGGCCACCTCGTCCCTCTCTCCACAGAAACATTCCAGGAGTGAACACTATAGTGGGATCAAACATTTCTTTCACAACATCAATGATGCCAACGTTAAATCACAGATATTGGTACAAAGCTGCCCTCTATTGCTGAAGAGAAGTGTTGCATTCCATTTTCAAAGACTGGCCATTCATTTTTATTCTAAACCTGCTAGAAATAGATTTACCTCAGTTAATAAAGTGGGTATGCTCCTGGGTATTACTTAACTGAAAAATTAGTACTATAGATGCAGAAAAACATGGAAGTAATGGAGATAGGTTCCTACATCAAATAAGTAGACATTTTGACAAAGTTTCTAGTCAGAATTAATATCATGCACACTTGAGATGAAACATTCATGTCAGGTAAGATTTCTATATGTTAAAAAAAAACTCTGAACCTTCTAGAAACCACTTAAAAGCTTTTTCCAAAATGCATTCAGGGATTATTTGTTTTCTTTCACTAGTCTCCATTTTTATTACAATTTCCATTTCATCTACCAGACTTATATGCTTTTTGTAATACACTGAGTATTGTCGAAAGCTTTCATGGCCGGAATCACTGGGTTGCTGTAAGTCTTTCGGGCTGTATGGCCATGTTCCAGAAGCATTCTCTCTTGGCATTTCACCACATCTATGATAGGCATCCTCAGAGGTTGTGAGGTGAGGTCTGTTGGAAAATAGGCAAGTGGGGTTTTTATATCTGTAGAATGTCCAGGGTGGGAGAAAGAAGTCTTGTCTGTTTGAGGCAAGTGTGGATGTTACAATTGGCCACCTTGATGAGCATTGAGTGACCTTGCAGCCCCATTCAAATTAGGACAGTAAACAAAGAGCAACACTATAAAAACAGGGGAATTCTAGACAAGAAACAATCAGGGTCAGCTAACACCTCCCAACAAAGGATCCCCAAGCAGCAACCAGCAAGGCTTTGAAGCAGCAAGGCCATTCAATTCTATAAATGTACAAATGTATGAAGCAGTGTTTGAGTGTTGGACTAAGAGCCTAGGGGTTGGATCCCTGCTTAGCCATGAAAACCCATCAGGTGACCTTTGAAAAGTCACACACTTTCAGCCAAAGAGTAAAATAATGGCAAAGCTTCCCTTAATAGCTTTTGCCAAGAAAACCATATGAAGGGTTGCCAGAAGTTGGGGGTTGACTTGGAGACACATACAACTACAATAACAGTTCTATGTTGAGAAATAAGTCCCTTTGAGTTCCAAAACTTAGCTCCTTATTGTTACTTTGGGATTAATGGGATTCATTCATTCTATTATTGTTATTGTTACTGTTGTTATATTCCTTCATATAAACTGAATCGATTACAGGACTTTGGGGCAAGGTTTGTACAGAGGTGATTTGCCTTTTTCTTGCTCTGAGGCCAAGAATGTGGGATTTGCCAGTGGTCACTCAGTGAGTTTCCATGGTCTAACCGGGATTCAAACCTTGTTCCTTCAGTATTCTAGTCCAACACACAAGCTATTTTATTTACCATACTGGTTCTCATTAACTGTCAAGTTAAATCATTATGTCTTTAATATCACCTATGCAATCTACCTATTCCATGCAAATATCCTATTCCTGACAGCAAGTAAACCCTCTGGAGCTGCCTTTCAGATAGTTTCAAGGGCTGCAGAAAATGGAAGTTTCCTTGTACTGGGGCTGCAGTGCTATCAGTAGCAAAGGATTTAGGCCTGGAAAAGTTACCAATCAGTACACCTGAGCTGTTACATGCACAACCTTATAGTCTGTAAATCAGGGCTCATTTTCACAGCCAAACCTTTCCAAGTGTTAAATAACAATTTCAGATTGGAGATGTGAGCAGAAGAATGAAGGATATGTAACTAGAAAGACAAGAAATTGCAATCAACCATTAGAGATAAATTACTCAATGAGATAAAATTTCAGTCTTAGCTAGCACCTGATTTTGGTAAATCATGGGATTACCTTGTAATGCAGGCTCACTCAAACTGTGCTTTAAATAATAGTGAAGGAATGATGTCTCATAAGATTGTCATCAACCCACAGAACTTTTGAAAGGTTCATATTCACGGCAGAACTTTCTTTCCTATGGTGAGAAACAATATGTTTCAAATTTCCACTTGCTGAGGCCAAAGGACAGGGGATGGACTTTAACTCCATAGCTCTGGTCTCCTCAGAGCAAAGTTTTCCAAACACTTCATGTTGGTGACACACTTTTTAGACATGCATCATTTTGCAACACAGTAGTTCAGATTCACTGGTATACCAGAGGTTGAAGCAACATGTGGACACATACATAAATTATAGTAACGAAACATATGGGGGCAGAACATAACTCACGAAAACCTCCCCCCCCCCCCGCTATATATAATGAGTTATTGCTTATTTCACATAGATTCAGAGGTTTTCCCGTTACTTTTGTGTGACACAGCTACACACTACAGCGTTACAACACACAGTTTGGAAATCTGCCTCAGAGTCATTTGTGTGGCTGCTGCTGCTCGAGACAAAGCACTGAACTACTTGGCAACTTTTATGCATCCCAGGACTGTCCAATGCTATATATAACAAGAGAACTACATACACTGTACTGTTTCCTGCCTGTCATGTTGATTGCTGAAGGAACAACCTTCTGGTCTTTGCAAGCTGTAGAAAGGGAACATTGCAACAAGAATAGAAGACGTGGGAGTGAGGCTGGAACTCAAGTACTCACCTACATATACACATACACACACTCACACATATAAACACTCATGAAGTAGTGAAAGAGTGACTTGCATTTTCAGCCATACATCCTTTCTATGATCCTACCAGCATGGGCTGATGTACTTTGCAAATGCAAACTAAAGCAAACACAAGTATTTGTATATCCTCTGTCCTGTCTTTGAATCTTTTCAAGTAACATTAAATCCTGTATACCTTATTGAATTTAATTCACTTTTCATTGTCCAATTAAAAAGTCTTTTCTGTTTCTTTTGTGTATATATAATTTTTTTTCAGATCATCAACCCAAACTTCATCCAAGAAGGTGAGTTAAAGACGGGAATATGCCATTTTCCCCTTGAAGTTAGGAAGGAATTTATTGTATGGTAACTTGATCACAATGGACTCACATTTAAGTGTGATTCAATTGCAAGTGACATGGCTGGAAGATTAAATCTTTAGTATTCACCAAAGTTAACATATTAAATGTTGTGTTTAAAATGGTTGGAAATTGGAAGGATGGAAAACTGCATAAGAATTATTCCAATTTGGGATTATTTGCTCTCTTTTTAAAATAATATTAACTAGTAATCTTTTTATATTATTTAGTACCGGCCTCTCCTTACGGCTTGAGGCAGTTCGTTAAATTTTCATTGAATTTGGATCATTCCGGTTTTTATACAATTTATTTAACTTCAGTTTTTTCTAATTGCATCATTTAGATACTGTTACAGAGACTCCATGTTGTTCATTTTTCTCCTTGTACCTTACTTTTTATTTACACAGCTGTGTTTCCCTCCCCAGTTTGGAGATAAAAAGTTACAGATCAGCTGCTCAGAAACACAGTTTGTGCCTTGTCAAGCTTACTTGCAAGGCAACAAGCACAAAGGAAGCTAGGTTAGGTTTTAAAGGAAACTCTTATCTCAGGGAGAATTCTAACCTTTCTTAGCCCAGGACACCATGACAATTGTGGCATCTGTGGTTCAAACGCATCTTAAAGGCCAAAAGTTCCCCCAACCTGCTTTTGAATATGCCCCATGAGTTCTAGGAGTGCACCAGGGAACAACGGAAGATATAAATATTCTGCAAAAACCAAGTTGACATGGGTTTTTTTTACAGGAAGTTTTGAATGCTTGGGTCCTGAAATGTTATACACCTGTTTATTCAAATATTTATTTCTAATTTCAAATATTTATTTCTAATTAATGAATTTGCATACCTCAACAACTGTGTTTACAAAATGCATATAAAATCCTGCTAAATTTCAAATTCAGTAAATCAGGAAAATGTGTTGTGATTTCCCTGTGATCACACTGACATTCAGATCCACAATGAAAATGATACACAATTTCTGAAGAATAGACCCCACCTGAGTCTATTCTCATACATACATACTAACTACTACAAGAAGTACATAGTAGCAACTGTTGCAGTGGCTCTCCATCTTTAGCTCTCTTCTGCTGCCAGAAACCTCAGTATGGCCAATGATCAAGGATTTGGGGAAATCCAAAATATCTGAAGTACCAAAGAATGAAAGCCACTGCTCTGTTAACAGCTCCCAATGAACAGGTTTCTAACTGCCTTTTATGTTATGAAAGATAATCCTGTGTTGTGGACATTTCCAATGACAGCTTCATATGATCTGATTAATGGTGTTAATATTTAAGGGTTAGGTGGAACTGCTGACATTATAGTCTATTTTTAGGGGGCTACACAGATTACTACTGGAAAACAACGGCCAATACGGTAATAAAAATGACGAAGTGTCTTCTTGCACCATCATATTTAGTATGATGGTGCAATTCATCATTCCATGCACTGCAGTGTGCAAAGCTTTATCTTCTATCTCCCTTTCTGATAACTTGATTCATAAGTGGAAAGAAGAGTTTATTTCCATTTCCTTTCCATGAAATGATAGTATTTGTTACTCTCATTTTGCCATTGCATAGTCTTAACAAACCTCAAAAATGTAGGGTTTCTCAATATATAATAAAATTGTTATCATTTACTTAGTGTGGTTGGCCAAATGAAAGCACAAAAATCCAAATTCTACAAGGATGAAGTTTGCATTCTCTCAGATTGAATAATGCCAATGAAATATTTGTTCCTATATGCTTCCCTTTAATTCTACCTCCACAATTCAGTATAACTTGAATGCTTCTCTATTCAAATAAAATTTGGTTCAACAGACATATCTATGAGGGGAACGTTTTGTCATTAACATGAAAGGCTGCTTCTTTGGGGAACTTCATGTCTGTATCTGTGTGGCTTTTGCTCCAGTTGCCCCAGAGTTTCTCATGCCCTTAGTGGATATTACTTGCTTGCTTGGAGACACTGTCATGCTTCAGTGCAAAGTCTGTGGACGACCAAAACCAACCATAACCTGGAAAGGACCTGATCAAAACCTTCTGGACAACGACAACAGTACAGCTGCCTATACAGTTACTTCATGGTATGTTTCCCTTCTACATCCAAGAATTCTGATTGTACCAGAGCAGTAAATTAACTCCTACAAAATGTGACTGCATCTGAAGTTACTAAATTCGGTTACTGAGCATAGTACAAGCCTCTTATCTAGCAGAAGTTGACCACAGAGTCATACTGGAAGACAGAGATTCTTATAGTGGAGATCTCCCTGGTTTAAAACAATGAAATTCAGGCTTTTTATTGGCGGATTTCCAATTTTGTGGAGGTATGGCACCTCTAACCCCAGTGAAAATGGAGGCCCTACTGTGTGGAATGATTTAAGGTGGTCTTTAAGGCTTTCAAAGGTCAATTTCCTCCAATTTACATGGCCCTTTAAAAGTTATTTCTTGAGAATCTCCCCATTCCAGCTAAAAGCAGAGCTGCCTTAATATGTGGCGCCTATCTCTTAAATTCCTCGTGGTATCAAAGGGTGCGTTTACAATGCAGTTTGACACAATTTTAACTACTATGGCTCAATGCTGTGGGATCCTGGGATTTGTAATTTTGCATGGTCTTTAGCCTTTTTTGGCAAAGAATGCTAGTGTCTCCCCACACAACAAATTTTATGATTCCATAGTAGTGAGTCCTGGCAATTAAAGTGGGATTGAACTGCATTAATTCTACAGTGCAGGTGCACTCAAACACTCACCAAGAGATGAAAAAGGTTTGATAGCATCACTCTCCAAAACTTTATCTTATCATAGAAGGTTGCCAAACAAAGTTTTTGTCATAAAACTACAGTGGGAAATCAGTATTGTATTCACATACTTTTTCATTTGTCTCAAATGAAAGTGGAAAGAATCAAGAGGCAAACAGGGCTTTGCCAGCAGAGAAACAAATGGGTTTCCTTCATAGAAAGAAGATGCATTCCCTTTCTAATCACACAGGTCAGGATCTAGGCCACATGGCACTCTGAAAGAAGCTGGACTGCAATTGGGTTTCCTCAGAAAGCAAACTATGAAGTTTACTGCAGCAAATGGATCCAGCAATTAGATGGAACCAAGGATACTTAATACATCTTTCAATTCAAACTGGGTTCATACCCTCCAACGGTCCCAATTTACCAGAGACAGTCCCACTTCTCTTTCAACCCTAGTTTTCAAGGGTTTCTAAAATATGCCAGTTTCACTTCTCTTCCTAGTTGCCTCTTTCTCCTGAAATTATTCCTGCAAACTGAAGGTGCATCTATACCAGGTATGGAAAAACTTCAGCCTTCCAGGTGTTTTGGATTTCAACTCTCACAATTCCTAACAGTCAGTAGGAATTGTGAAACACCTGGAGGGCCGAAGTTTGCCCATGCTGCTCTATACTGTTGAATTAGTGTAGTTTGAGACCACTTTAACTGCCATCGCTCAATGCCATGGAATCATGGGAGTAGTGGTTTAGAGAGGCACTAAACTCTTTAACAGAGAAGATTAAAGAACTTGTAAAACTACAATTCCCAGGATTCCTTAGTATTGAGCCATAGCAGTTGAAATGGTGTCAAGATGTGTTAACTCTGCACCATAGTTGCACCCTGAGTTCAAAGTGCAAATATCATTTGCACTCAACCCAACTGAGAAGAGTGGACAAAATCCTGTTTTCCCTGTAGACAAAAACAGACTGCTGCAGCCCCTCCAAATCTGTGTGTTAACCAATAACACTCAAAGATTGCTTGACCACACTCAAGTGTCACAGTTTTTATTTCTGAAATGTCTGAAAGTGTGTGGATGTAGATGATTTTTTATACACAACACCTGGCAGACAAATCAAAGCTTACAAGCCAGGAGTTCCTTTGTTTTGTCTCATGTTACATTTCAGTTTACCTTAAGACATATGTCTGTAAAGCACCAGTGTTTGACATTTGACAAAACATGGTCCAGTGTTATGTGAGTTCTCAAAATGTTTTTATTTTAATTTTATGAAATACATGTCTATACACAAAAATGTGCACCTGAATATGCATTGTGATTTTTGTAATGCCAAAACCTACATTTAAGTTCAGAGAAGTGCAAAATTATATAGATAACTAGGTTCACTTCCCAACTACGGACTTCTCAAACAGCCCTAGATTATATGCAAGGCAGCTGTCTGTATAGTAGGTACATAGTTGAGTTCCAGTTTGATTTGCATAGATATCAGACTAAATTAGTTCAATACCTATCTGTCCATTTCACAAAATTACAAGATTAAAAAGGCAGCGTTTCTGCTTTTCCACAATTTAAAAAAAAATTATATTGTAATCACTCTGTTATGTAATATGAGAGAGTCCAGTATAATTATTTAGCAGAATTGTAGATCAAAATAATGACATTTTCCCTCTCAAGTGATTCAGGTGAAATAACTCTGAAGATCTGTAACCTGATGCCTCAAGACAGTGGTATTTACACCTGTGTGGCAACAAATGAACTGGGATCAGCATCCACCTCAGCCACAATCAAAGTGCAAGGTAATAGATTATCCCATGGTTCTGTTTTCTGTGTTATTTTACATATTTCATAAAGATGTTTGAATGTTTGCTTCATCAGAGAGCAAACTTCCATTGATTAAAATCATGATGATCATTTTAGTCGCCCTCCTCTGGACACATTCCAGGTTGTCAACATCTCCCTTCAATTACCATGCCCAAAATTGGACACAGTATTCCAGATGTGGGCTAACCAAAGCAGAACAGAGGGGTAGCATGACTTCCCTGAATCTAGGCACTATACTCCTCTTTATGCAGGCCAAAATCCCATTGGCTTTTTTGCCACTGCATGACATTGGTGGCTCATGTTTAACTTGTTGTCCACGAGGACTCCAAGTCCTCGTGGACAAGTTTCAGGACAGCATATTCCTTCCCCTGAAGGTCTTGTTGTGATCTGTTTCCTCTTGGCAAATAGTTATTTTTAAGGGGATGGGAGAATGAAGAGAGAATGAATACTGCCATCTGTCTATACTTCGTAAGGTTCCATTTTTCCCAATTAGGAGAGGCCCATAACATCAAAATACTCTAAAGACACCAGGTCTTATCTGATCTTAGAATCTAAGTAGGGTCAGCCCTGGTTAGTATTTGGATGGGGGACCACCAAGGAATACTAGGTGCTGCTGCACATGATATTTCAGAGGATGGAACTGGCAAAACTATCTCTGGGGTTGCTAGATATTGTCAGGGAGCCTTAAGGCAAAAATACATGTGATAGCAAGTCTTGAGTTTTGTCTTATGATACATTCCAGAAACACACATCTTCTAAATGTATACAATCTTAAGAGGATGCTTGATTTCCCCCGCCCCCAAGACTGTAGATGAGCTCTCTCATGTTGCATTCTGAATTCCAGTTAATTTATCTAATTTGATTCCAGGAATGGTCCTAAGGCAGTCTGGGGAAAACCCATAGGTGCTGCCCCATTCCTCACCTTGCTCTAGCATCACTGCCATAGAAGAAAGAAAAGGAGCTGAGACCCTGGCTCCCCCTTCCACAGTTACTTGTCTTGGCAGATATCTGGAAGAATAGTCAGGCTACCCATTGTCCTTATGGTCAGAGGCAGGTGTGTATGTGCGCAGGCATCTGTACTGAGGGGAGCATCAGTACTAAACAGAGGCTTAAACCACTTAAGAAAGAGAGGGACAGGGCAGCAGCAGGAAGGCAAGGGAATATTTCTGCTTCTTGTTCAGGACACCTGGCTCTTAAGTTAAATGAAAAGTCCTAAAATAATTTTCTGAAACTTTTAAAATACATTGGAATAGGACTGTAGTCCCAGGGAAAAGGCAATCAGAGTTTCCCCTATGTCTCATTTCCCCTACTGAAACTTGTGGCGTAAAGTAAAATAAACCATGTGTAGTTCACATTTGATCAGCCCACGCACTGCCTTGCCAGAAAAAGAAAATATGCCATGCAGGTGAACAATAAAGAACAAGTAGTTTAAGCTCAGACCACTATATGTACAATATGATCAGTTGCATCAACTCACATACTGTCCTTTTATGAGAGATCTAAAATGGTCTTTCTTTTGTCCATGTGGATAAAATTCGTTCAGCTGCTCATGAAGCAATAGTACACCCCAAACTCTGTCTCTCTCTGCTTCTCTCTTCTTCACTCTGCACTTGCATAGCTCAAGCCTGAACAAAAATGTAATAGTAACCAAAAGTCCCAGGCTCAGCCTGGCCCCTGGGCATTGCCCGACCAATCAGCTCCATGCATCTTATTTTACAGTTAACACACACTCATACTGATTCCTTGCATGCTCCAACAAAACTGCCCTGACTTCCATCTGTTGATCAACTTGAAGGAAAAAACACACAGATCAGGATCTCCTGCCTCTGCCTGTAACATCCTAATATACAGTTGGTCCTCTTCTGCTTTTGATTTTTCTAGAACACCTAGTTTATAATCACCCTCTATTTCCTATATTTCATGTTGACACAGCAGTAGCAATGTTCTCTTTTCACTCTTGGTTTCTCTTTTTCCCACCACTTCCATCCCGCAGGTGTCCCTGCAGCCCCAAATCGACCTATTGCTCAGGAAAGGAGCTGCACCTCCGTCATTCTTCGTTGGCTGCCTCCATCCAGTACAGGGAACTGCACTATTTCAGGTTACACAGTGGAGTACAGAGAAGAAGGTAAGAAAGCACTTACTTGTTGGACAATTCGGGGCTCTGATCTGTTGCAATACATTTTCTTCAGGTCTGTTGAGATGAAATTACAGGCAAATTTTTATACTTTGAATTGCAGGTCTCACCTAAGGAATAGTAGAAATAACCTGCCTTGCAGATTATAAAAGTAGCTGGAATCATTTTCGTGAAATACATAATGTAACTTGGGGATTCCGTATTCATATGTCTTTTAAAAAATATTGATCAACTATCTGCTTAGTAGCTCCCGATGCCCAGCTACTCTCAGACCTTATTAGTGCAAATGATCAGGAAATACCCAAATCGAGACAGCAACCTCATATCTTAACTGCAGCTAAGACAGATGCAGTCTAGTTGCCTGTTCTCTATTCCTCTCTGGCCTGTAAATAGCAGAATAGTAGCTTGAGGAGAAAGGCAAGGAACTCTCATTTGACTCTAGTAACTGCTAGAAAGTACACTCAGTGTATTATACTTATGATTCTGCAGAAAACCATTATTAATGCTTCCCAGTCATTAAAAAAAAAGCAGTGATTTTTTTCTGATGAAAGTTGTCCATTTCTGCTAAGTCCAAAAGTTCAGTAGCTAGCTTGCACCCATTGGAATGGGAATACTTTTCCACTTCTGTAAATAAAACAATCTTGTTGCTGGGGCCATGTACCTTTGAATGTTTTTTCATATTTCTTTGCCAGTCGATCTTCCAACAATACAAGTAAATGCAGTTCAGGCTTCATTTCAACATTAAATCTCTTGTTTTTCCATCATACTATGTATTTGACCCCAGCTTTTTTGGGTGGGGCATTCCACATTTCAACACATTTGATAAACGCGGTGGTTTTCAACCTATGGGTCCCCAGGTGTTTTGGCTTACAACGTCCAGAAATCCCAGCCAGTTTAGCAACTTTTAGGATTTCTGGGAGTTGAAGGCCAAATCATCTGGGGACCCACAGGTTGAGAACCACTTGATAAAAGGATCCCATTAACAACATACATTTCCAACGTATGTTAGATGCAACTATATACATTTTAGCTATTTTTTCTGGTGCCAGATAACAGTGACACATCATCATATAAACCCTGGTTTTCAAAAAAAAAACCATACTCTAAATGAGTGTTTCTCATTTAGAAAACCCAGGGGGTGGTGGTCATGAGGGGGTGTCAGAGGGGTTGCCAAAGACCATCAGAAAACATATATTTCTGATGGTCTTAGAAACCCCTTTGACAGAGAAGGCTGAAGATCTCTCCGCCTATTCTTCTCTGCCTTTTTGGAAACAGATGGAAAATCCTCCCAGCAAAAGCCCTCCTCTGCTGTGATTGGCTGGCCTCTCAGCCAAGGGGAGGGCTGTTTCTGAGATTCCAAGTGGGGAGGGAGGAGCAGGCACGCTCGGTGCATAGCAGCGTGGTGCACATGTGCAGGTGAGGGAGAGAGTGTGAGGCTGAAGGGAGGCTCATGCCAGCAAGCCCCTTCAAGGCATGGGAGTTCTGTGTGCCAAGTTTGGTTCAGTTCCATCGTTGATGAAGTTCAGAATGCTCTTTGATTGTAGGTGAACTATAAATCCCAGCAACTCCAACTCCCAAATGACAAAATCAATCCCCCCCAACCCCACCAGTATTCAAATTTGGGCGTATCGGGTATTTGTGCCAAATTTGGTCCAGTGAATGAAAATACCTCCTGCATATCAGATATTTAGATTATGATTCATAACAGTAGCAAATTACAGTTATGAAGTACCAATGAAAATAATTTTATAGTTGAGGTCACCACAACATGAGGAACTGTATTAAGGGGTCACAGCATCAGGAAAGTTGAGAAACACTGCTCTAAATCATCATCATCATCCATCATCATCATCATCATCTCCTCTAAGAAACTATTTTTCCCATTAGTGTACCACTCCAGTAGGATTCTTCTCTCTACTATGTTATTTATCTATATTCAGGGCTTTCTAATGCAGATAATTGTTTTAGAAATACCTCCCCCCCCCTTTAAAAACATGCTCAGAGGCAGATTAAAAGCCAGTCCCCTTTCACACCCCTAAATTAGGGTTAATAAGGCCTGGCACACAAACAAACCCACACATTGGAGTTTATAAGCACATTTCGGTTTTGATAATCTTATCTCTCCTCACTCTCTCCATAAAACAGGGTCACAGGTCTGGCAGCAGTCGGTTGCCTCCACCTTGGACACCTACCTCGTCATTGAAGACCTCACTCCTGGCTGTTCCTATCAGTTTCGAGTCAGTGCCAGCAACCCCTGGGGAATTAGCTTACCCAGTGAGGCTTCTGAATTCGCAAAACTTCCAGAATATGGTGAGCACTTTATCAGCAACAGGAAACATGGCCATTTTTCATAAAGTGAAAAAGTCCAACGTAACACATTGGTGGGTTTGCATTTGTGCTGAGAAAGTGAAGCTTGGCTCAGCAAATGAGTATGGGAATGTAAGCCTACAGCACTAGTGACAGTGGGAATGGCTCTGCACTTCCCTGAGCTTCAACTTCATCATGGGGTATTTTGCCTGATGCAGCAATTTGTAGTTATTGATACTAGTCCTTGCTGATACCAAGACACTTAAATAATTTTATCCATGAATTAAAATGGCAAGGAGGGAATATACACTTTTCTCAAGGTCCCCTCTCCAGCATTTATGCTTGTCAAGTCTCTCCTTGGTTCTAAGGCCTTCTCTTTTGACACAGTAAGTAATGACAACTATATTTTATATCACAACTCTATTACTTACCCTTTCTGGTTTCACAAAGATGCTGCAGCTGATGGAGCCACCATTACCTGGAAAGAAAACTTTGATTTTGCCTATACAGAGCTGAATGAGATTGGAAGGTAATACTACAATTAACTAGTTCACAATGGATGTTCTCCTTTAGAAAACTGTTTTTAAAAAATACTTGGTTCTAGTATATTAGGATCACATGAAGGCACATCTTGAGATTTTTTCATTTTTTTTCATTTATTTATAAAAATAGAGTATAACATAACAACTTTTCCTCATGAGGAAGTTTAAAAGGCAACATAAGTGACATATACAAGATAAATATATTGTAACAATTTAACAAAAAAAGAGATTAAAAATCATATTTAATCACCCTTATCCCCTACTTGTATCCATTCCTTTTCCATTATTTCCCCCTCCCCCTCCTGTTCACATGTATACACATACACAGAGATTATAATCACCTTTGACCCATCAGGTTAGTGGGTTCATATAGGAGACATGTAGGGTAGGTCTCTGAAGCAGATATTCACATATAAAAATATTAGTAGAGGATATTATTCTGACAATTGTTAGCTTGAAATGTGAACTGTCTTTTTAAAAAAGAAAAGAAAAGAAAAGAAAAGAGGAAAGTCTTATTTTCAAAAAGAACAGGCTGGAAAACAATGTACAGCTAGACATGAGTGTACAATGGTGGAATATAGCATATTCTGTTAACGGTAAAGGTTTCCCCCGACATTAAGTTTAATCGTGCCCAACTTTGGGTGGTGGTGCAGATCTCCATTTAATCCAAAGAGCCAGCATTATCCGTAGACACCCCCAAGGTCATGTGGCCAGCATGACTGCATGGAGCACTGTTACCTTCCCACAGAAGCAGTACCTATTGATCTACCCACATTTGCATGTTTTCAAACTGCTAGGTTGGCAGAAGCGGGGGCTGACAGTGGGAGCTCACCCCGCTGGCCAGATTTGAACTGCCAACCAGCAAGTTCGGAGGCTCAGCAGTTTAACCTGCTGCGCCACCAGGGGCTCCTACTCTGTTACTTCTGCTGAAATAAAAAATACATTCAGCTCTCTGTAGCCAGATTCTGTAACCATGGACTCAGCTATCCATGGCTTGAAACTTTTTTTGCCAATTTACATCGGGGACACAATTTTAGTAGATAGATCATTGTATATAATGGGACTCGAGTATCCATGGATTTTGATAGTCACAGGAGTCCTGGAACCAAACCCAGCAGATATCATGGCAACTACATCCAAATTATAAAGAGTTATGGACAGTTCTATTTGCTTTGATTCCTTTAGCAATATTAATGACCTGATTCAAAAAAGCTCTTAGGAAATGGTTTTGCTGTTGATTTATTGCTGAATAAATGTCACTGTTTCCCCCTTCCAGGGGCCGATTTGCTGTTGTCAAGAAATGTGTCCACAAAGCCACTAGGAAGGATGTTGCGGTGAAGTTCATCAATAAAAAAATGAAGAAGAAGGAGCAGGCAGCCCACGAGGCAGCCATCCTGCAACATTTACAACATCCTCAGTATATCACCATTCATGACACTTATGAATCGCCTTCTTCCTATATCTTAGTTTTAGAACTGTAAGTCTGAAATGGAGGCCCAGCTTCTCAATCATCATTACAAGGGTTAATTTATCTTTTGTGTCATAAATGCAGTTAGCATCATAAAAGCATGCCATTTTACTACTGCAACAACAACACAGTGCTCCTTTACTTGGAGGCTCCAAGTGTATATGGCATATTGGGTGGCATTATAAATCAGTAGAAAAGAGCTTTGAAGTTAGCATTGCTTTATTTATAAAAATGTAATTTTATGCATGAGCTTTTAATAGACTATACTATATCATAAAATGTTTTATTATTTCTTTTAAAAATGCTTTATGTTTTCAAAAATATTCACCACTTGATATTCACTTGCTGGTGGGGGAATCTCTCGTCCATATTTTATCATAATCTTGAATCTTTTTTTGACTGAAGACTTGTGACTTGTGACTAATGTTTCAACCAGCTAGATTGTAATTGTGCTAGATTTGATAGTGGGTTATTGTTGGATTTTAGAATGGATGACGGCCGTCTTCTGGACTACCTGATGAATCATGATGAACTGATGGAAGACAAAGTAGCTTTTTACATAAGAGACACAATGGAGGCCTTACAGTACCTTCACAACTGCAGAGTTGCTCATTTGGATATAAAGGTAGGAGAGAGAAAAAAGAAAAACAATTTGTACGATATTACCATATATATGTTGTATACGGAGACGGTTCATACCAGTATTTAAATCATTATTTTATTTTTCCTATATGGAAATGATCAGTCTTATAGATAAAACATTGCTCAATTAAAAGGCGGTATATAAATATAGTAAATAAATATATAATAGCATTTATGAATGACAAATTGATATGGTAGGAAACTTGTTTTGAGCATAGATTGCATGATGATAATTTTTCCTCTGGCCTATAGTTTTATTAATTCATTGTGAATAACAAGTGTAGCATAATTCACAAAGAGCTGTAAACAACTTCCATTTTGGTTCTTGTGGGCTTTTTGGGCTATATGGCCATGTTCTAGAGGCATTTCTCCTGACGTTTCACCTGCATCTATGGCAAGCATCCTCAGAGGTGAGGATGCTTGCCATAGATGCAGGCGAAACGTCAGGAGAAATGCCTCTAGAACATGGCCATATAGCCTGAAAAAACCCACAAGAACTGAGTGATTCCAGCCATGAAAGCCTTCGACAACTTCCATTTTATTTTATTTTTCTTATTCGTTCCATTATGCATCACGGCTTTTCTTGGAGATGTCAGGTGTTTATTGTTTTCTTAACTGGAAAGCAATCTTGAACCAGTGTTGGCTTACATTTATTTTTATTGCAAAAATAGTGGAGCTGTTTTATGTTATTCTCAACAGCCAGAAAATCTGCTCATTGACTTGCGGATCCCAGTGCCTCGCGTTAAGATAATAGACCTTGAAGATGCTGTCCAAATCACAGGACATTACCACATCCACCATCTCCTTGGAAACCCTGAGTTTGCTGCTCCCGAAGTTCTCCAAGGTGCTCCGGTTTCACTCGGCACCGACATCTGGAGCCTGGGTGTCCTCACCTATGTCATGCTGAGTGGGGTCTCTCCCTTTTTGGATGAAAGCAGGGAGGAGACATGCATCAACGTGTGCCGGGTGGATTTCAGCTTTCCCAATGAGTATTTCTGCGACGTAAGCCATGCTGCCAGAGATTTCATCACTGTCATCCTTCAGGAAGACTTTAGGAGGAGGCCAACAGCTGCCACTTGCTTGCAGCATCCGTGGTTGCAGTTTCACAATGGCAGCTATTCCAAAATCCCTCTGGATACCTCACGTCTAGCCAGTTTTATTGAACGCCGCAAGCACCAGTTTGATGTGCGCCCAATTCCCAATGTTAAGAGCTTCATAATGAGCAGGATGAACTCAGGAACGTAATGCAATAGAAGAACTCTGACTTGGCACTGAGGAGCTATTGGGTGTGAAGAGAGAGAAAGCAGAATCTCTCTTTTACTGTCTGTATAAAGTATTATATTTGATGTGGTGTCTGAAAGAGTATATGAACTGTTCCAGCGGCTTCATGATCTAACTAGGTAGCATTAGATGCTTTCAGAAGTTGCTCATGCAACTTGGTGGGTGGCTTTCTCGTGTAATGATGTGGCTATTTTACATTCCGATGAATGTTACAAAGGATGTTGGTGGAGAATGGGAACCAAAATACAGTTGCCTTAGTTTTGAAAGGCAGCTTTCTAAAAGGCCCAGGCAGTCTTACCAATTCAATTACTATTGAAATTATATATTTGAAAGATGTTAGAAAGCAAGTCTGACTTTCTGCAGTTAGAATTTTGTGAAAAACAAACTGGACCAAACAGGTTTCAGATCTTATACAAACTGCTCAAACCGTTCTTCAGATCTATCCTTCATTCTAAACTTCACTCATCTTAAATAAGAATTGTGTCAGGATAACTGTTTTATGGCACCCAACCCTCGTGATGCAAGCTTTGCCAATGATACAGCAGATAAATTGTGTTGATCAAGACCATAGTAGACCTTTGCCAATAAGACCTTTCTGAATTTTACAGCATTCTCTTGTTATAAATATAACATACTATAAAATGCTACCACAGAGGTGATAAATACAATGAAACAACAATATATATAGACAAAGCACAATGTGACAATTTTAAATAATTTTTATAGCTCTTGTACAGAAAGCCTTTTGCAAAAACTGTGCACCAAGAAAAAAAAACTATGTTAAAATAATTGCTGGTATCTGTAAAGTAGATGTGAAAGACTTTTTCTATTGCAGGGTGTTTCTTGAATTCTCATAGTCTATAAAAAGAGAAGGAACTCATTCCTTTTCTAGTTTTAAAACTTGTGAAATCAATCCAAAATTGGCCAAAGTGTGGTAAGTATAGTGAGTCCATTTTTATGTTTGTGGTTGCATAACTGGTATCTTACTATATGTGTACATAATGTCCATCTTCTTAGCCCCAGCATCCCAGCATCTATCCTGTTATTTTCATTCACTCCCCTGTTTTGATATGACATTCCAGAAAATTATTGATAATATTAAAAGTAATCACAGTTGCAGTTTCTAAACTAAATGGTTTTGGAATAATACTTCCAAATTATAATTATCTCTTATTATCGCTGTAGACACTAGTCCAACTTTTTAATACTAAGAGGATTTGGCATCAAGATATATTAATTCTTTAGAAGTTGAATTAGCCAAAACTTTGTGTCTGACTTTTTTCTCTCCTCTTGAGCAACAAATGCTCTATAAACGGTAAGGTGTGGTGATAGAGCAAGTCACAAGCAATGGCAGGGTGATTTATTCTTCTTTAGTGTGGAGAAAGGTTTCCTATCACGATTGGTATGTTGGGATTGATCCTGTGGGGTGCAAGTTGTCAGTAGTTGTGCCACATTCTTTTGCCTCAAATAGCCCCCCCCCCCCCCTCGAGTGCTACTTCTGGTTCCTGTTGGAGTTTGACGTAAAACCTATACAAACATCCTTTTCTACACAGCAAAGTCTTGATGGGTGGAATGCAGTTGTGTCATCTGGGTACTGTTCAAACAGGACTGATGATTCCTGGTTTGTACTTATAGGGGAAAAAAGCTATTTTATATGTGATCGTACTAAATCAAGAAATTCAGTTAAAGCAACAACATTGGACTGAAAACAGATGACCAATTATCTAGTGGTAAATGACCTAATATCAAATTACAAGCCACTGGTCTGCATTGCTCTGCCATATTATAAAGAAAATATTATACTTCCATGCTTTCCAAATATGGGAGAGGCAGGGGAGGAATAAGTGTTCTGCATAACTTGGCAGAACAAAAAACTATTACTGGTTTGCCAACTGGTTGTATGTGACACTTTGGTAAAACAGTGCTTGATAATTAATTGTTTGCATCCAAGCCACTGGTGGTAAGACAAGGGCTCTTCTCCTGATCCTGAAATGCAGAGTAGAGTTTGGGGAGTAGGACTTCCAGAGCATTCCCCTCTGACAGCTTGACCACTGACTGTAATGACTGGAGTTACAATCTAGAAAAGTAACTTTTCCAAGCTCTGACTAACACTAAACATTAAAAGTTTGAGAGATATTGTAGTATTGTTTCTACTACACCACTTGTCTGACAAACAAGAAGGATAGTGAAGTCAGCTTTCAAATCTGATTATATGCTGCTCTCCATCAGTTAAATTATAGGGCTATTCTATTTCTCTCTCATTGCTTGTTTATGTAGGAATACCTTCCTGAGCATATCTCAGCATCTACAATCTGTCCTACTTTGGGGTGTGTGTGTGTGTGCTCTTTAAACTATAAACAAGAAGGGCAAGGTGCACAGGAAACGTATCTTATAAGCTTCAAAAAGCCATAGTAAACTGAACAAATTAAGATTTTATGGCTAATAAATGAAGCCAAACAAACAAAATATAAATGATTAAGTTCAATTGTCACAATTTTGGTCCAATGAACCATATATTGTTCAAGCTTCTGTGTTTGATATCCTGGTTTGTAGGCAAGTCTGAATCAAAGTTATTCAGTGTGGATGTCATGAAAATATGTGCTTTAAGAAACCAGAGAATCTTCATAGGAAGGCAAAAAGTGTTGGCTCATTGACACTAGATTGTCCCTGATTTATTGGACTAGGATTGCTACACCAAACTCCATCTTTTCAGGGGCAGTGTTCTCTATTTTTTGTGGCAAAGCTAACATTTTATGGTGTTTCTTGGAGGCTTCCTCTTTATTTTCTGACTGGCTGCCTCTCTCCTAAGCCTAGTGGCACTTCAAATGAGGGTATATCTGTCTTGAATGAGCATATATTTCTCTTTTAAAAGGGTTTTTCTAATTAAAATAAATAAGTTCCCCTTTACAACTTGATTTGTATAGTAAATGAGCCTTTTAAAATTATGTGAGCAGCAAGTGTATTAAATACATTGCTTGAGGGTTTTCCCCTCTTCTGTCCAAGACAACAAATAAGAATGCAATGAGGGAGAAATGATAGGAAAGAGCATTGATTTGAGATTCACTGAATAGCAAATATGGATTTAAAAACACAGTGCCTTTCCACAGAAAAATGAAAATGAAGTTCTTTGCCCAATCATCATTTTTCCCCCATGCGATATATCAATTTTCTCAAATAGTGCTATTTCATGATTTTTTAAAAACATAAATCTTGCTATTTTATAACCCATCAATGTCACATAAAGGAATATAGGATATGATCAACTCCTTAGGTTCTTTTTAGCTGTCACAATTTTCTTAAGATACTGACAATCATCCATAGGTAGGTCATGTGAGCTCAGGTTAAACAAGGGCAAATATTCGGCTAAAGTCTGTTGCTGAGTCTGAATCCCACTTAAGTTTCATGGATTTCAATGAATCATCAACTTTGATGCTGTTCATATTTACTGTGGGGTAAGCACTTAATTTCAGAATATACATTTGGAGCAATGTCGGATGTCTCCAACATCTGAATCACGTGTAATGTAACATAGAAAAACTAGCACTCATTTGCAGACATTGCTTTATAACCAAGTACTGCTATATACAGAATCATTCTCAAAAAAAATCTTAGTGCCATTTAATTGATAACTTTGATTTCTTCCCATTCAGTTGTACAGAATGGGCTCTGACTTATCACCCCTTCTGATCTTTTATGACCCAATAGACAGTGGTGCTTTCCTAAGAGAATATTCTTCTCCTCTCCCCCAGCAAGACCATGCAACTGCCATCAAACATTAAATAGCTGTTCAGGAATTGTTATTCTAGTGACTGTTGTATTTTATCGGCTCATGCTCTAAAACAATCTTCGGGTCTACTTGAGCCATATCTTACCTTCATGCCCTGCTTTTCAATGCTGGTGCTTTCCATTCTTTCCGCTCCGTCTGCTTTTCCTGACATGTCACTCTGCAGTGTTGATCTTCCACTGCAAATAAAGTCTGACATGCAAATGGCACAGCAGGCAATTAAGAATGTATCTCTTAGGTTGCAGTGCTATGCATGGGAGTCAGTTCCACTGGGCTTGAGGCATCCTAGGTAGAATTGCAGTTTGCCATCCCTGTCCAAGTGAAACTCATTGAACTTGTGCTTTCTTCTGCATTGACATATTGAGGATTAAAACCTTTTCAGCTATCATTGTGGATAGTGGTGACAGGGGCTGCATTATTAGGATGGAGAATCTGGGCTCTCCTTTCCTGTAGACATTGAAGTAGAAGCTGGAGAGCCATCTGCCAGGTTCCTGCTCTCAGCAGAAGGTTGGATCCCAGGCCTCCACAATCCCTTCCAACCCTAAAATTCAAAGAGCTTATACTTTTCCAAGGTGCAAACTAATTCCACAGCCTTAATATTTTCAGTCTTTTGCTAGTCTGCCTTAAGTATTTTCTCATTATTTTACTGATTTTGTCTTGTACGCACATGTGTTTTCTACAGACATTTTGTAAATATTTTACTTATACTTCTGAATCTTCATTTGTGATGTTGTAAAGTGATTATCTGCTCTCACATGTTCTTATTTTTCAGCAATATATGTTATGTACAGATGATAAAATCTACATTTTAGGTGACTGCCTTCCGTACAAATACAATATACAAAAGAATGAGCAATTGATGATTATTGTTTTAGAGATACAAAAGCAATTTTTATTCAGATAAAACCAAGTAAGCTAAATACAATAGACTGCAGAACAGGAGTGTGGAACCAATGTGGTGCAATTACGATGTCAGGCAGGGAAAGGAAGGAATTCCTCCTGAGCCATGAAACCTAAGGTGTATCCACACTGTAGAAAAAATGCCGTCTGACACCACTTTTAACTGCCATGGCTCAATGGTATGGGGTCATGGGATTTGTAGTTTAGGGAATTTTGTGAGGCCCCAACAGTCTTTGGCAGAGAAGGCTAATGCCCCTGTAAAACTGCAACTTCTAGGATCCCATAGCATTAAGGCTGGCTAGAGGGGAGTTACAGCGGGATTCTGCATGCTCAAAACTTTGTATTTGTGGGTCAGGGGGAAAGAGAAGATTTAATACACTATCTGTTACATTGTATAATAACCCCAGAAACAATCTCCTAGGAGCCCTTCTGGAAGAAAGGGCAGCATGGCAAAGGTCAGCAGTTATCTTTGACCTGTTAGCGGATTATTCCAAAAATATAACATTAAAGGTTGCTACATTTGCAGTTGCAACCCCCCCCCCCCCCCAAAAAAAGAGCTACATTTGTAACGTCTACAATGGAGGCTAGAAATGGAAACAGTTTGGGATAATACAAATCAGATTTTGTTATTGTTATCATGCCTTGTCACTGCTACTGTAATTTGAAAGAGCTGATTTATAGAATAAGTTTTAATGTTTATATTAGAAAGTTTATACTGTAGTTTTTTAAAAAGTTGTATATTATTTGATGTCATGACCTATGGCTGGTACAATAAACCATTCATTCATTCATAGCATTGAGCCATGGCAGTTAACGCAATGACAAACCACATTAATTCTACAGTGTGGATGCAGGTTGAAGGATTATCCCCCCACATCAATATGATCCAAAGTATTGTCAAAGGCTTTCATGGCCGGAATCACTGGGTTGCTGTAAGTCTTTCAGGCTGAATGGCCATGTTCCTAAAGCATTCTCTCTCAGATGTGAGGTGACCTCACAACCTCTAAGGATGCCTGCCATAGATGCAGGCGAAACATCAGGAGAGAATGGGTTGTTGTAGGTTTTTCGGGCTATATGGCCATGTTCTAGAAGCATTCTCTCCTGACGTTTTGCCTGCATCTATGGCAGCATCCTCAGAGGTTGTGAGGTCACATCTGAGAGATAATGCTTTAGGAACATGGCCATTCAGCCTGAAAGACTTACAGCAACCCAGTGATTCCGGCCATGAAAGCCTTCAACAATACTTTGGATCATATTGAGGTCACCTCACATCTGAGAGAGAATGCTTTAGGAACATGGCCATTCAGCCTGAAAGACTTACAACAACACATTGATTCCGGCCAAGAAAGCCTTTGACAATACATCAGGAGAGAATGCTTCTGGAACATGGCCATACAGTCCAAAAGACTTACAGCAATCCAGTATGATCCAAAGTTTTAAATCGTTAATACAGTTGACTTCTGACTTTTCTCCTGACTTGCCAACTGGTCGAGCATGTCTCTCTTTCTAATTACATTATACTCCTTAAGGGCTAAATAATATTAAGTAGATCACAACAACAAGTGTTATCAGAGGAAGTGAAAATGAAATACAAACTAATGGACACCAGAGAACCAAAGGATGAATGTCATCTTCAGAGAAAAAGAAGAAACACGTAGTATTTTTGGTAAGCTCTCCTATGGCCACAAGCGTCTTGGTCTTGTAGGAGCAAGGAAACCAAAATATTTCCCAAAAAAGGCAGAAGCCTGCTTTCCAGAGCAAGGATGGACACCACAAAAGTCAAATCTTTAAACTGCAAAAAGCTATTTATTGCATGGCCATAGCAATAACGACAAACAAACAACCATATGGGGATGCAATCAAAGGGTTTGTCGCAACCCCCAATGGGGCTGCAGAGCTTTTATAGTAAATGGAATATACATTTTCATTGGTTCCCAAAGACAAATCATTTCATTGGTCTAAGCCAGGGGTCCTCAAACTAAGGCCAGGAGTCCTCAAACTAAGGCCCAGGGGCCGGATACGGCCCTCCAATGTCATTTACCCAGCCCTCAACTCAGAGTCAACCTAAGTATGAAATGACTTGAAAGCACACAACAACAACAATCCTATCTCATCAGCAAAAAGCAGGCCACAGTTCCCACTGAAATACTAATAAGTTTATATTTGTCAAAATGTTCTTCATTTTAATTATTGTATTGTTTTAAAATGTATTTTGCACTACAAATGAGATATGTGCATAGGAATTCATTATTTTTTTCCCAAATTATAATTTGGCCCTCCAACAGTTTGAGGGACTATGACATGGCCCTCTGTTTAAAAAGTTTGAGGACCCCTGGTCTAACCTAACTATACAGTGGTTCATTTGTTGTTTATGATTTTGATTGAGATTATAGCACACGTGGGATCCTAACAACGGCACAAGTATAACATAACAATAGTCCATTGTTCTCTGACCATGACTGTATCTTATCTGTTAGTCTGTTGAAAACATGGCTCCAGAGTGACTGGGAAACTTGGGGGTTCTAACTAGCCAACAGCTAGCTGGATTTGTCCAGATATACTATTATTCCTGAATAGCAACTTTTTCTTTGGAGCACTGATTTTGCAAACAATCAGCATTTTCTGTAAACATAGGCCTACTGCAGAAATAGGCCAATATGGCAGTAAATCATGACATATGGGCATTGGGAACATCTCTGAAAATTCACTTTTTAAAACCACGTCCCCTCTAGTCTGAGAGTGACAGCAGGGAATCTAAGGAAGGTTGTTTTCTGCCTTGCAACTTAGAGGCCTAAAGGGAATAGAATTAGGGCATAAAAGCTTTCCACAGTTTGCACTCTGCGTGCATATACACCAGGCATGGGCAAGCTTGGGCCCTGTAGGTGTTTTGGACTTCAACTCCCACAATTCCTAACAGCCTCAGGCCTGAGGCTGTTAGGAATTGTGGGAGTTGAAGTCCAAAACACCTACAGGGCCCATGCTTGCCCGTACCTGCTCAATAGGTCAAAGTGGTGCCCATTATGGAGTTTCCCGTGTAAAGCCCACTTAGAGACCTCCACGTGCCTTTAAACTTCCGCTCCTAGACTTCCCAACCGTCACGAAATCCAAAACACACGGGTGACGCAATCCTAGAGCGCGCAATCGATTGGCTGTATCATGAGCATGCGCAGTCCCCTTCCCCTCCCGCTTCTTCCCATTTCCTATCCCGGCAACCACGCGTCACTGTCGCGCGACTCGGAAGCAAGCCCAAGGCACACGATGGAAGCCTTGGCTTCAGCCTTGCACGCCGCGAGGGCGCTGCGCTTTGGGGAGTTCCTGCTCAAGAGCAGCCTCGTCTCTCCTGTCTACGTCGACCTGCGCGTCATCGTCTCGGAGCCCAGCTTGATGAACAAGGTGCGCGTGTGACACGCAGCGGGAGGGGGCAGGCGTAGGGAGGGGCTTAAAAATAGCCAATCGCGACCGCGAAACAGCGAGGGGCGGGAGTTTGAAGCGGCAGCGGCGGCTCCTGATAGGTGCAGAGTAATGAGATTGACAGCGGCCTGAGTGTGAGAGCGCTGGGCTTTCGTAAAGAATCCTCGAAAAAAATGAAGGCTGTCACTCCTGGTGTATGTGAGCCAATAGGATCAGAGAAATAGAGCGAGGGGCGGGCCTTGGAAGCATCCGCGGCTCTGGATAGGTGTGGAGGGGGCGGAGATTGATAGAGGGCAGGCTCAAGCGTTTGGCGCGCTTTTTTGGAGGAGGGGCGGGGTATAGGGCATTTCACACGTCTATCATCTCCAGAGCCTATAAAATAAAGGGGGCGGGGCTGTTGTTAGGTTCGAGAAGAGCGTGGTGTAATGAGGGCGCCTCAGCGCCAGGTGGCGTTACATAGTAATGGTAAAGGTTTCCCCTGACATTAAGTCCAGTCATGTCCAACTTTGGGGTGTGGTGCTCATCTCCATTTCTAAGCCGAAGAGCCGGCGTTGTCCATAGACACCTCCAAGGTCATGTGGCCGGCATGCTACATGGAGCACCCTTACCTTTCCACTGGAGAGGTATCTATTGATCTACTCACATTTGCATATTTTCGAACTGCTAGGTTATTTCTTTATTTTTAATTTCTTTTATTTCAATTTTAATTATTATTTGCGGTCTGTATTTTATTTGTTTACTGTATTCGTTGGACCTGGCCTTATGTTACCCACCCCGAGTCCTTGAGGAGAGAGGATGGCGGGGTATAAATAAAGTTTAATAATTATTTATTTCATATCAAAAGCATTGCATAAATTAATGTAAAACTGATAAAGATAGAAGGCGTGCAGGTGGCTAAATCTGTTTTGACCAAAAACGGGCAACAGCAACGGCATTGTCTGTAGCCTCCAACACTTCCTCCTCTGTACATGAGGCTGGGCACAGTGGACAAGCTTTTAAGTAGTGCCATTTGTCTTTTGCCCACTCCGCTTCTGAGTCTATTCAGGGACTTCCAAGTTGCCCATTCTTGGTTCGGCCCTGGAGAAAGACCCTCACGGGGGGGGGGGGGGGCATCCAGTTGGGATTTCTTGGTTTAGCTACCCAGAAGTTTAATAATAATAATAATAACAATAATAATAATAGGTTGGCAGAAGCTGGGGCTAGCAGCAGGAGCTCATCCCGCTACCTGGATTCAAACCACCAGCCTGCATAGATTTTTGGATTTCAGCCCTTGGAATTTCAGTACCACCAGGAATAATTACAAAACCTCACACGAGACACATCTGTGATTCAAAGATGCACCTCATCTTGGAAAAAATCATATAGGGAGGTGGGGGGAGAGGTGCATCTCAGAATTGAAATACAGTAAATATAAACAGCAGGCCTGGAAAAGAATAGAAAAGAGAGCACCATCTTGTTTTTTAAATTGAGATATTGGCAGTGTCATGGACTTAAATGTAATGTAATACAACTGTCTGGTTGCTCCTGACACGATAAACAAACAAAATAAAATGGACTTAAATGTCAAGAGACAAGTAAAACATACAGAAGGAGGATTACAAGGTAGCAGTATTTCAATACAGACCCATTTCCGGTTAGATCAGGATGATGGGAACCTGTGCTTCGAGCCATGACAAGGGGGCACCTCTATGTGAATTCAGATCTATCAAAGGTCACCCAATAGGGCTCATGTTTTATATGTGGTTTGCTAGAGCCATACAATAGTTCTGTGTGAGATCTGGTGAGGGGAAGGAAGGCAGACATGTCCTGAGGGGCAAGAAGCTCAGTTGGCAAGTTGGCCACGGTAGTACACGCTCTGGTCACATCCCGCCTTGACTACTGCAACGCTCTCTACGTGGGGCTGCCCTTGAAGACGGCCCGGAAGCTTCAGCTAGTTCAGCGCGCGGCAGCCATGTTACTAACTGGAGCGGGATACCGGGAGCATACAACGCCCTTGTTGTCCCAGCTCCACTGGCTGCCGATTTGCTACCGGGCCCAATTTAAGGTGCTGGTGTTGGCCTACAAAGCCCTAAACGGTTCCGGCCCAAAATACCTTTCTGACCGCATCTCGGCCTATGAGCCCACGAGGACCTTGAGATCGTCTGGGGAGGCCCTTCTCTCGATCCCGCCTGCCTCACAGGCACGCCTGGCGGGGACGAGGGATAGGGCCTTCTCGGTGGTGGCCCCCCGGCTGTGGAACACCCTCCCTGTAGACATCAGACAGGCGCCCTCCCTTATGACATTCCGCAAGAGACTAAAGACATGGTTGTTTGAGAAGGCGTTTGACTAAGTGCTACAACAATTGGCAATGATGATTGGAACGGAATATGGATAACGAGATTGGATTGTGATTCTATGATGAGACGTCGCGAATGATTTAGTGTAATTGTATTACTGATAGTGATGTTGTTATTGTTGTTTGGGTAATTGCCTTTATTGTAAATTGTTTTTATATGTTGTACACCGCCGTGAGTCGCCCTAGGGCTGAGAACGGCGGTCTACAAGTGCAGTAAATAAATAAATAAATAAATAAATAAATAAATAAATAAATAAATAAATAAGGTGAAGAATGAAAAGCCTCTGATGTCTTTCAGGTAGCAGACCTCCTTTTTCAAACTGCAGAGGAAGCGAAGCTCCAGTATGATTCGGTGTGTGGCGTCCCATACACAGCTTTGCCATTGGCGACAATCATCTGCTCCACCAAAAAGATCCCAATGCTTATACGGCGAAAGGAAGCTAAAGATCATGGTAAAAGAATACAAATGTTGCTAGATTGTAAATATTATTCTGTAAACTATTAATGGGAGCCCCTGGTAGCACAGCGGGTTAAACTGCTGAGCTGCTGAACTTGCTGACTGAAAAGTCAGAAGTTCCAATCCGGGAGCCGGGTGAGCTCCCGCTGTTAGCCCCAGCTTCTGCCAAGCTAACAGTTTGAAAGCATGCAAATGTGAGTAAATGAATAGGTATTTTGGCGGGAAAGTAACAATGCCCCATGCAGTCATGCTGGCCACATGACCTTGGAGGTGTCTACAGACAATGCCAGCTCTTCGGCGTAGAAATGGAGATGAGCACCACCTCTGAGAGTCGGACTTAACTAGACTTAATGTCAGGGGAAACCTTTACCTTTAACTGGAGCACTGTGCTGGGTTTATTTGCTCAAGGCTGCTTACCACATAATTTGCAAGGCCACAACAGTTCATTATTAGAGCATTGTCAAGAAAGAAATAGTGTCCGTTGGATCAACCAGACAGTTTAAACTATTAATGATCAGATTTGGAAAGGTGTTTATAATAAGCCTGGTTTTCCAATTAATATATTAAAACATTGAATATTAATGGCTTTTAATAAATTTGGAAAACCAGCCGGATATAAGCAATGCATGCATGACCTAAAGACATAAATTCATTTCAGCCTGAGGTTATTTGATAACAAATGGTGTATGCATCATTTGTTTTTAATTGTGATAACAGTATCTTGTTTGGAACTTTGAATGAAAAATGCTAATTTTATTGCTTTAAAGGTACAAAGCGTCTTGTTGAGGGCACAATAAACCCTGGAGAAACTTGTCTGATCATTGAAGATGTTGTTACAAGTGGTTCGAGTGTCTTGGAGACAGCGGAGGTCCTTCGGAAAGAAGGGCTGAAAGTGACGGATGCTATAGTACTCTTGGATAGAGAGCAAGGGGGGAAAGCTGTGTTGCAAAAGCATGGGATTCGCCTGCACTCGGTGTGTGCCTTGTCTCAAATTCTCAAGATCCTTGAGCAGCAGCAGAAAGTCACTCCTGAGATGGTGACAAGGGTTGAAACATTCATTCGGGAGAATATTGTTGAACCGTCCAAGCAAAACGGCTTGGCTCCTACCAAAAGGATATGCAAGGAAATGAGTTTTGCTGCTCGGGCAGAGCTACGAGGCATTCATCCCCTGGCTGCCCAACTTTTCAGGATCATGGAGAAAAAGCAGTCTAACTTATGCCTCTCTGCTGATGTGACCACGTCCAAAGAATTGCTCCAGCTGGCTGATAACCTGGGCCCCTCCATCTGTATCTTGAAAACACATATTGATATTCTGGGTGATTTTTCTCAAGAAGTAGTAAATGAGTTGCGAAAACTTGCAGACCAGCATGAATTCTTGATATTTGAAGACCGCAAGTTTGCAGACATTGGAAATACTGTGAAGCATCAATATGAAGGTGAATTTCACTTCTCAGTTACCAAATCCTAACCTGTCTATAACTTGGTCCCTTTTCCATTCAAGTGTTTGTCAAATCTCTGATTGTCAAATATAGAAGTGTATGGGACTGGCTCAAGGCCTGAATCCAGCTAATGAATCAATGTTTAGTTACAAGGTTCTCATTGAATTAAAGGCCTGTCCTAATTTGCATTAACAGTTAGATTTGGGCCAAGTCTTCAGTGTTTCTCTTGAGCTGAATTTTTGCTCATGTCATGATGAGCACAGCTTGTCGTTTTACATTAATATTTACTGTATTAATGAAGCACAAATCTTGATATTCCATTTGTTAGAGACAAGAAAACAATAATTTGGTTTGCATTTTAAGGAAGATCAACCTATTTGTGCTTCTGAACCAATATACAGATTGAAAGAAAATTATCTCCAAATGTTATGATGTAATTCAAAACGTTCATAGAGCAATGCTTAAGTTAGAGAAAATAATATATAAAATGCATAACATTAGAAACATAAACTTGCATCTGTATATGTTAAACATATATTATACATGAAATACATATATGAAATGTGCTTTTTAACCCAAAGTTTAAAAGAACCGATAGGGATGCTTATTGTTATGCCCTTGTTAAGTGTGAGATATATTGCATTCAAGGCAATATTTTCACCATACGAATCAAGGCATGGAAAGGTTTTTGAGGCTAATATTGGAGTGGAAAAACTCTTTAGTTGGTAACTTGCCCATTCTGTCTTCCAGGTGGCATTTTCAAAATAGCATCCTGGTCAGATATAGTCAATGCCCACGCAGTTCCTGGCCCTGGAGTTGTGAAGGGATTGAAAGAAGTGGGGAATCCTTTACAACGGGGGTGTCTCTTGATCGGAGAGATGAGCTCAGAGGGGTCCTTGGCAACTGGAGACTATACTAAAGCTGTGGTAAGTGGGATCAGTAATGTGCATGAAGCTGGAAAATATTGGGAGCATCTTGCCTTCCTCATAGTGACAAAGGAAGAAACAGCTGTTCCATACTTCTTTTCTCATGAAAGGATATTTGGTGAACTATAGCTAGCAATCCTAATGCTGATTGATGGTCTTACTGACTGTTGTAAGGGAACCTAGAGTGGAGGTACAGCAGTAGTAAGAGGACAACTACGTTTGAGAGGAAGCAGCAAGAACTAACTGATGCAATTTTTTCAGGCTGACTTATGGAATCATAAAGTTGGAGGAGACCACAATGAACAACTAAGCCAGCCTCCTGTCATACAAAAATGTATAACAAAAACACTCCTGAGAAATGGCTTTCCAACTTTGGTTTAAACACTTCCAAAGAAGGACTCCATTACCCCAGTGCAGTCTATTTCACTGTTGAACAATCCCTATAATAAAGATTTTTTAAAAATGCTAATCAAGGTGGTCAGTTGAAACATTCACACCTAGCTCCAGCAGACAAGAGTCCTTTGTCTCACCCTGGTCATTCCACAGATATATAAACCCTTTTCCCTAGTTCCAACAGACCTCACTACCTGTGAGGATGCTTGCCATAGATGCAGGTGAAACGTCAGGAGAGAATGCCTCTAGACATGGCCATATAGCCCCAAAAAACCTACAACAACCCATTTTAAAAAATGCTTAGGTGGAATATCTTTTCTTATCATTTAAATCCATCAATTCATGTTCTGGTCTCTGGAGAAGAAGAATTTTTTTTTTCCTATGTGACATCCCTTCAGATATTTAAGACGACTCTCATGTCTTGAAGAAGTTTACTCAACTGGGAAGGGAGCTGAGTAGTGCAAATAGGGTAATTGAAGGGTCTGAGGTAAATAAAGGAAGCAAGGAATAGGTGTACTATGGATGACATATCCATTAATTTATAGGAGAGATATTGGCCCATGTATGAAGGCATGCAGATGTGGCCAAGGCAGTCTCTGGTTGTATAATAAGATCACTCTCTAGTATTTTTCTTCTGATGGAGATGTAAAGCATTTTCGTTCTGGAAAATCTAATTCTTACATATGTATTCATTTTCATTTAGGTTAAAATGGCTGAAGAGCATGCCGATTTTGTCTTGGGATTTATTTCTGGCTCCAGGATAGTGGAAAAACCAGAATTTCTTCACTTGACTCCAGGTGTTCAGATGCAGACAGGAAGTGAGTATCCTCAGGAAGTGACCCATTCAGAACTCTCATAGAACATTTTGTTTGATAGCACATTGCATTGCAGTACAATCCAGAACAATTAATATTGAGATCTTAACTGAGAAGTAGGAGCTCTTTGGATGTTCTTTATTCCATAAGCGCCCTTCTAAGTTTCATCTAGCTCAGGAGGGCAAATCATATGCCCTTCCAAACAAGATTGTACTACAAAGTCCAGCATTCCTCCTCCTTAGCTTTTTGGGATAAGGCTCCTGTCCAACTTTTAAAATCTCAAATTGCTCCCACTCCTGATCTAGTCTGACATTCCTCTCCCCACCAAGAGCATCTCAACGACTCTGAGACTTTAAAGAATTGGGATAAGCAAATTGTAGCCTGTGATCCCCACGTACCACCCAGGGCCTCCCGGGGGGGGGGGGGGTCAAAAAATTGCTCTCTGGAGGGCTTTTCCAGCACGTTTGGGGGCCCTAAACATTTTCCACAAATTTTGTAGAATTTTTGAAAACAAGTTTTTCAAAAATCTGGGCCAATTTACACCAAAGAGTGTTTGAAATGCAAAATGAACAGGAATTAATGTATATCCATTGACTTCCTATTCTGATTTTTTTAGACTGTTCCTAACCCACAAATGGTCCAACAAGGCTCCCACAACATGGTGAGCACATCCCCATTGTCCACTAGAGGGCATTTGTTCACAAAAATCTGATTTGTTTTTTGTAAGTTCAGTGTGGCCTTCCAAGGAGAATGGGAATGGTGGTAATGCAGTCTAACCAGCCCTGCGCACATTGGGATGTTCTTACCCTTTCCTGTTAATTATTTTATAATTCACTTGTAGGGTTCAGTAACCCTATACATACTTAGCCATGTAGCTAAGTATGTATAGGGTTACTGAATGTAGACCACAATAGAGCATTCTGACCATTATTCTGAACACAGCTACACCGTTCATTTGTGGAAGATTGGTTGTTCTGTTTTCAATCCCTTAATAGATCCTGATGCCTTTCTGCTGCTCCACCCCCTGACTTGATTTCTATCCAGCTATCCACCACAACTCTAAAAGCACTACTCGTTCGGGGCATCTCTTAAAATATGTGAAGTTAATTAAGTGGAGTTCTTTCTTTCTTTCTTTCTTTCTTTCTTTCTTTCTTTCTTTCTTTCATATTTGTCACTTTGAACTTATCTGCAATGCACTTCATTTGTCAGGTGTTTACTCAGCACTGATACATTCTTTTGAAACGTATATGCATGTGTCCTTAGCACTTCAGTGATAAGAGACCATTGCACCCAGCATTTTCATACTTCCTTAAGGAAACTGCTAACAGTCAACAATGTTGTATTTTACCTTGCAGGTGATAACCTTGGGCAAAAGTATCTGAGTCCTCAAGAAGTTATTGGTAAAAGACGTTCAGATATCATCATTGTGGGGCGTGGCATCTTGTCCGCATGCAATCGTTCAGAGGAAGCAGAGGCATATAGGAAGCTGGCATGGGAAAGCTATTTGCAGAGGATTGGGGTTGGTGCACAAATGTAAGCCAAGTGCTGCATTCCCTTAAGTAAGGCAATCCTAGAATCTCACATGATTGCCAAGGTAATTCTTCATTGTTTACCTGGTGAATGTGTGTGTTAAAATGTGCTAATATGCAAGCTGCAGTGGTGACACTTAGTGGCAATGCATTTAAACATCTACTTTTCTTGTTTGGCTGATCCTACATTTCTAAAAGGAAATGAAAACACTCCAAATGGATTTTTTTTTCTTCTCTTTGCTCTGAGGGAGCCTCAGACATTAAGGGTGTGAGAGTAGGTAACATGTTCTCACACGGTGTATGTAGTTCTTCTTGTCTGGGTTGGAATGTAAGGACTAAATGTCGCACAGCTGAGCCCTCTGCTGAGTTTCTCTGTTCAGACTCAAGATGCTTCAGATAATATCAGAAACATGTTTGTGTAGGAACTGTGTGCCTTAACTAGGGAAACAGTGCATTTGGCTACAGTTTAATGGATGCCTTTGTGTATGTAGAGACAAAACATTCCATCTTGCTATGTAGCCCGCTACCTCTTCCTCACTTGGGAAACCTGAATACTTTGATTGCAATTGTCTCAAAGCAAAACATGCGGCACTTTTTTACAAAATAAAATTTGGAAAAATCAACTATTATATGTGAAAACAGGGGGAAAACTTTGTTGTGTTTAAAACTCTGCTTCTCCATTCTGGTGCTGTTCCTTAAAAACAGCATCACAAGTCACCCAGGTCGCCTCCTAAAAACCTGTTCTACCCACCATCAACCTTTCCTCACGACTCTATAGAGCAGCAGTTCTCAGCCTGTGGGTTGCGACCCCTTTGGGAGTTGAACAACCATTCACGGGGTAGCTGCTTTGCCTCCTTCAGGTCTAAAAAGGGGCTCCTCCTCCTCTTTCTCCAGCAGCATGGGTGGAGAGGAGTCATGGGGGGCACACGGCAGGAGGAGGCGGAGCCACGGCTCCAGTTCTGATTTAGCTGCCATTGATATCCCAGCCTCCGTAGTGTCTATCGTGCTGCCATCCTAAAAAATATTTTAATGCAAGTTTTGTTTTTAATTGGCTTTTCTTCAGTGTAGTTCTCTAGCTGTAAGCTAAGGTACTCTGAGCATTTTGTGAAGGTGTACTCACTATCCAAGGGATTGGTGTCAAAGGACCAAAGGGACCAAAGTAGTAGCCTGAGTTGGCGAGAAACAATACTATGCTTAGCATGACTGGATTAAAAAAAACAAACAAACAAACTTTGCAAAAAGGAAAAAGAAAGAATATGTTAGTGGTACCAAGGACAAAATCCACTGAAGCTGTCTATCAGTAATTCGGCATTTAAGAGCTATTATAGCTTCAAATTCCATGTAGTCGGGTAAAAGGACAAACATGGTATAGTCAATTCAAATATGAATTGAATTATGGACAGTTCTAAATTGATCTGTTCTAAATTGAATGGCACACAGATCCATTATAAATCTCAAAATGTTATTGGGAAAACAGTTTATTCCACAGATCCTTTTTTACTTAAAATACTTGAACCTAACACAACTGTTATATGAGGCGTTATCCACCAGAGGGCACTGTGGACCTTCACAATTATTTCCTGTATGGTTTTCCTTCATATTTATTGGGAACAAAACAACTAGCCTGTCTGGAAGGATGACCTAGTTGTGCTTTTGTCTTTCTGTTGCTGTATCATGGTCAGTACTATGGCACAGTACAGATATAATGCTCTCTCCCCATGGTTTGGTGACTGGGAGTCTGCTATGAGATCATGTCCTATAAACTTCTTGCCATTTCAAGAGTTTTTTATCCATCATCTAGGCCAGTGGTTCTCAACCTTCCTAATGCCTCGACCCCTTAATACAGTTCCTCATGTTGTGACCCCCAACCATACAATTATTTTCATTGCTACTTCATAATTGTAATTTGGTTACTGTTATGTATCGTCATGTAAATATCTGATATTCAGGATGTATTTTCATTAACTGGGCCACATTTGGCACACATACCCGATACACCCAAATTTAAATACTGGTGGGGTTGGGGGGAATTGATTTTGTCATTTGGGCATTGTAGTTGCTGGGATTTATAGTTCACCTACAATCAAGGAGCATTCTGAACTCCACCAAAGAGCACACAGAACTCCCATGACCAGCAGAAAATACTGGAAAGGTTGAGTTTTGGAATTGTAGTTCACCTACATCCAGAGAGCACCGTGGACTCAAACAGTGATGGATCTGGACCAAACTTGGCACAAATACTCAATAAGCCCAAATGTGAACACTGGTGGAGTTTGGGGAAAATAGACCTTGACATTTGGGAGTTGTAGTTGCTGGGATTTATAGTTCACCTGCAATCAAAGAGCATTCTGAACCCTACCAACAATAGAATTGGGCCAAACTTCCCACACAGAACCCTCATGACCAACAGAAATTACTGTGTTTTCTGATAGTCTTTGGTGACCCCTCTGACTCATCCTTGCGACCTCCCCCCCCCCCCAGGGGTCCCAACCCCCAGGTTGAGAAACGCTGATCTAGGCTATAGCATGAACATTTCTTAGAGGGGCAGCTGAGTATGTATTGGACAGGGAAAAGAACACAGGCAGGCAGGTTTATCACTGTAGAGGGGCACATCTACAGTGATAATTCAGTAAATATGATGATGGTGCTGGTGATGCTGATTATGCTGATGATGATTATTATTATGGATTTGCTGTGCAGATGATGACACAGGAAATCCTGGAACTAGTTTGAGGCCCGAATTGTGATTACATAAACTACTAAGCGCTGCTTCACATTCAGGGCTTTGTTTCATGCACTTTTGTGAGAATTTGCCTTGAACTACATTAAATGGGCAGTGGAGATGGGGCTGAAGTTAAAAAGGAAGAGACACACAGAGGTTGTGGGGCCATGGGAAAAAAAAACCACCTACCACTGGGCCTGCCACAAATGGTTGGATATTGTGCTTCCAGCTCCTCTTGACAACTTGAGAATTTCCTACAACTTACAGCAATGGGGGGATAAGGTGAGTGTGACTATGACTATGACCGATTCCTCTATCAGCTGAATGGAGAAGTAGCATTTTATCAGGGATTCTGAACAAGGACCATAAATCAGAATAAAGACCACCTCTAGTTTTTGACCAAGTGTTGCCTTGTAGACTCCCTTGTATATCTGTTTGCTGCAGGGATAAAGTATATAAAGAACTGAATGCCTCTTTCAAATTTTCACAGCCACTGTTGACATTGTAGAAAAATGGAAAAAGTGATCAGGCCCTTCTGCCTGGAGCTGCTTGGAGAACTAGGCATTATGTGTGGCAGGCATTAGCAAAATATACCATGTATTGTCGAAGGCTTTCATGACCGGAATCACTGGGTTGTTGTAGGTTTTTCCGGGCTATATGACCATGTTCTAGAGGCATTGTCTCCTGATGTTTCGCCTGCATCTATGGCAAGCATCCTCAGAGGTAGTGAGGTAGTGATCTATGGCAAGCATCCTCACTACCTCTGAGGATGCTTGCCATAGATGCAGGCGAAACGTCAGGAGAAAATGCCTCTAGAACATGGACATATAGCCCGGAAAAACCTACAACAACCCAAAATATACCATACCCTGTACCTTAGCAGTTACCCACAGATGCTAAGACCTCACGAGGGACCTGGCCAGCATTTAGGGTCACTTGTAAAAATAATGTTCACTGCATTGTGTTAAGTGAGCAAGGTGCAGAAAAAGAACATATTCCCTTCAAAAGGGACACTAGGGGATGATTTCTGGTTTAAAGCTATCTCAATTATTTGTAATTGTTGAATGAGGCATGAATGTCTTAGGTAGAAACTCAGTTACAAATGAATAAGTGGGATGCTCTGTTTTAACAAAAGAAGGTTTTTCTTATTTTGCTTCTGATCCCTCTTTCCCAGTTTATATTCCAAGAGAAACCACTATTAGGATGCAGCAGTCATACAAACAATTATATTTTATATTTGAACCTTCCTACTTAACTTGGTTTTAGCCAGTGATCACATATTATTAGAGAACAACCCCCCTCCCCCCCCCCATTCAGGTGACTCTGAATTCTGAATTTAAAGTCACTTTCTCTAATATGCTTTGACTGTTTACGTTCTTTGACATATACTTCCAGCTGTTCATCCAGATTGTATTAGGAGCATGGGAACTAGGTCAGAATTTATAAGAACTTATATGTATAATAATGTAGGTGAGAACAAATGAATTGCAGTGAAACTGAAGAGCTCAATTGGTAATCACTATTTGATTTTCCTATACTAATGCTTAAATTATTTTTATGTTGAGTTTTGATAAATCAGAAAAAAAATTCTGAACTATTAGGTGGCTGGACAATATGCATCTCTAGTTGAAGAATTTTTGCTACTGTGATCCAGAGGCACTTGCTGCCAAAATGGTTGCTTCAGTAAGCTTCTACATGATTTTTCACAACTCTGAAGCCATATTCTTGACTACATACACATAAAATTTACAGTTTTTCCACTGGAATATAGGTAAAGTTCCTTTGCCAGTAGCCAAATGCTTGCTACTTTCCTACTGTGGATCATATATTCCATAGTGGCTTACTTAATTTTTTGCAAGTAAGTTGGTCGATGTGGTTTAAATGCAAATGTCACAAATTCTATCCCACTTTCCTTTGTAAACAACACCTGGATATAATTTGATCTATTTTTATATGCAGTGCATCTATTTTGGTACATTTTTCCCAAAGACCTTTAAAAGCCTTGAGCCTAAATGGAATGCTAAAACAATTGAGCAGTAAATAAAAAACACATAAGGTTTGTAGTAGCAATTTAAAGTGGCCTAACACTGCTGCAGGGCAAACTATCCAAGTCAAAACAATGGATTTTTTTTTTCTACAAAACTCCTGCCAAACAATTATATGATTGCACTATAGTGAGCCTTACAGAACAACAGTAACATTCAAAAGATTCTACTATAAAATTCTGCTATGATATTTCTCTGGTTGTTGCCTGGTGGATAGGTCACTTAGATATATTCAAGTGCCTTGCAGTCTGACCTTTTGTTATGTTCAATAAAATTGTTCTTGAGCAGCATTTCCATACTTTCTAGTTCCCAGTCATTGAATTTCCCAGTTTGAATGGTATGCTCCATTCTTCATTTAGAGCAGAAATAGGATTCATGCCCTCCAGATCAGGCCTGCACAACCTGCAGCCCTCTGGATGTTTGGGTCTCCAACTCCCAGAAGCTTTAGCCAGCTGTTCCAATGACCAGGAATTCTGGGAGCTGAAGTCCAAAACTCCTGGAGGGCTGTAGGTTGTACAAGTCTGCTCCAGATGATGTTGGATTGAACTCCCAGCACTATGCTAGCCAAGGCTAGTGAAACTGGGAATCCAACAACTGGATGCCCACCCACTCCAAACCTTATTCTCGCCTCAAAGCTTTTTTGTATTCAGAATCCTATTAGGCAGTTATGAATGCATGGCCTAGATTTACACACTCATGACTCTTTCATATTCACAGTGTACACATAGCCCTTACTTTGGGAGCTATGTAGAGTGCATGAAGGTCCCCCAATCCCCGCGTACCAGGAAGTTGCTACTGTGATTGCCATGGGGAATCGTGTTATTGGGAAGCAGGTGTTGGAAACTCCCACCCCTTG